CCTGGAACAAATTTTCCAATTTCTTTCCTAGAATCAAAGAAAGTTAGAATAAATGTCGGTTATGTTTTATATGTAGGAATGAAAGCTTTGAATGGGGAAAACACATTTGCTTGGAAAATATACAAGAAATCTAGCAATAAAAAAAATTCAGTCCTATAACACTAACCATGAATTGTTCTTTAGAACATAGTCCCAATGCATCTTAAATTGCAAGGCATCAGATGTGCTTGGAGTGTCAAAATGCAGTGGACGGGCCTGGCTTTGTACCCCGAATTCTGGGTCAAGCAAGCAAGCACACCATCTTCAGTTTAAGTGATTTAAGGCAGTGTGGTGTACTGGTTAAGAGCATGGGACTGGGACTCAGACAATCTGGATTCTAGTCCCTGTTCAGCCATGGAGCCAACTGGGTGACTTTGGGCCAGTCACAGACTCTCAGCCCAACCTACCTCACAGGGTTGTTGTTGTGGGGATATAATGGAGGAGGAGATGTAAGCTGCCTTGAGCCCTTTGTAGGAAAAAGGCAGGATATAAATCGAAAAATAAATAAAATGATTTAAGGCAGCAAATTAAACTATAGCTCTAAGTGATGGCTTTATTTTCCTAAGATTGTGCAAATTGAAGCTATATCTTATTTCTTACCTCCTCGCATCCCCATGCAAATCTTTACACTTCTAAAAGCAGAAGCTACAACCTACCTTGGCCTATTTTCACCTATCAAGTTAGGATGTGTGCTCAAGCCCAGTAGCATCATCCATTCCTTCATGCACTGTTATGGTAATTTAATTTCAACTGTAAATTGTGTTGAGATTATCTGCTGATATACATTTGAACCAGCACTAGATTTCCAGAATTCTATACCACAGTGTATACAAGTGGAATAAAGATCCTGACTGAAAAGCCATGCCTTACACACAAGGCTATCCTGATAGTTTTTTTTTTTAATTGTGTTTGAAAAGGAATAACAATCTAAGTGTATACAGATGCTTAAGGCTTCAATCTTATACCCACTGACATAAATGTAAGCTCCATTAAACTTAACATATCTTATGTTTAAGTAGACTTCTATAGAATATACTCTTAATGTCCAGTAATAAATTTACTTAAAGAAATAATTAAAAATGAACCCAGATATAATTATTGCCTCTCCACCTAAAACCCCTAAATGAACAGGCTGGAATCCTGTGTACTCAGGTTTGATTCTAAGTAAACATGCATAGAACTGGGTCATCAAGGGCTGAAATTTAAAAGTAAATTGCAAAGATCTGTTTTGTAGAGGAAGTGCTTGAAAGCACTTAAACACCAAACCCAGAATGATCAACCTGGACAGAATGGGCAATGGGAGTGACAGTTTCAGCATGGGTAGTTCTAGAAATGCTGGCTGGTAAAACCAACGTGCAACATGTATAATTAAGGGAAAGGCTCCTAACTGTGCAAGTGTAACCACAGGGGAAATGAAGGAAATTAAAAACAGCTGCTGGCAGTCCTCTGAAGAGAAAAAGTACAACAAAATTAGGTGAAAACTAATCAAAATTTTAAAAACTCAAGAAATGAAATCTATTTGGAGTTTAGGCAATTCTATTATTTCATGTGAACAGCTAGTAGTCTCCAGTGTATAGCACATACACAAAACCCAACTCAGCTCACTTGAAGGTCAAGGAAAAACTACATTTATTTTGCTCTGTAAAACAGGAATAAGAATGGGTTCTTAGACTATACTACTTAAGAAAAAATGTATAAAATTTTTTGAATATTCCTCATGTCAAAACTCAGTATATATGGAAAATAAGAATGGCAGACAGAATGTAGCTCTGTTACACCCTTAACATACTAGAATTCCAGAATCAGTGAGGACTTGAGACAAAGCAAAATGCAACTTGTATTTTAAATGGTACAATTGAGGTATATACCACATGACCTTTGACCTTAAGCTCTAATGTGGAATCTTTGACAGTAATAGTAAAAAAAGTGCTCTATTTTCAAGATGAGAAAATATTGACTTTATCACTGAATCCATAAAGGATAAAAATAAATTTTTAGGTAATTTTGCAAGGCATGGAAACTAATGGTCCACTGAGCAGAATCCTACTTCCTGAAATCCTTCGGTTCCCCCATTCTTCTGTCTCATACTCCACAAATAAAACTGTTTTGCTGTACTGTCCCTTATTGAAAAAATATGGCTAAAGTGTTTATTCAATAGAAATTATCAATGAGCCCTTGGGAAAGAAAGATACAGAAATTAAAAGAGTAAAATCCTGCTACACATGAATAACAAGACCTAGTTTTAGATTATTCCCTTAATATCCTGAACACGTAAGTCTGAGCTGGCAACTCTTTCAGCAACAAAAATAAAGACTGCCACAAGAGAATATTAAATGTCATTTGTGCCTCTGCCTCTCACAAATGTTTACCAGAAAGTCATATATTTTTCATGCTAAGTAACTTAAAACTTTTATAAGAATACTTAGAAGTTATTCTATCCAACATGAAAACCAATACAAGAGATACATCTAATTAGTCAGCTACTTGATAGGTTTGCTTCAACAACTCACCCATTCTGCTTTATTGAATACTGGTCATACCTTGTGCTATTTTAAAGCTATCTACACTGACAGCCTGCACATAAGTATATATTTTTTATAAGCACACCCCGGTAGTGCAATTCACTGGACTTACAAAAAAGTAAGCCTCGCAGGTTCAATATAACTTACTGCCAACCTTGTGTACAAGATTGCTGGGAGGAAAGTGGGAGAAGGGAGAAAAGTTGAAATCCCAGAAATATACAAATAATGGCTTATTGGCTCTTTTGAGTTTCAAATTTAAAATACCCTTTAGGTACACTATAAATAAGACCAAATAATATTATATACCAATATTATACCACTTCTATAATAGAAAGATAAAACTAGTATCCTTTAAATATTAATAAAAATTAAAGGACAAAAGTTTTGTAACACTTGAATGGTTACCAATATACATATTCAGGGTTGGATACAAACTTAGAGAAAATCCATTGCTATCAATGGGTCTTAAACTCAACTTACTTGAATCCCACTGATTTCAATGGGAATACTCTAAGTATAAAAACATCTTAATCTTTGTTGTTAGTCACGAAGTTGTGTCCGACCCATCATGACCCCATAGACAACATTCCTCCATGCCTTCCTGTCCTCCACCATCCCCCAGAGTCCACTTAAACTCACGCCAACTGCTTCAGTGACTCCATCCAGCCACCTCATCCTCTGCCGTCCCCTTCTTCTTTTGCCATCTATTGTTCCCAGCATTAGGCTCTTCTCCAGGGAGTCCTTCCTTCTCATTAGGTGGCCAAAGTATTTGAGTTTCATCTTCAGTATCTGGCCTTCTAAAGAGCAGTTAGGGTTGATCTCCTCTAGGACTGACCAGTCCAAGGGACTTGCAGGAATCTCCTCCAGCACCACAATTCAAAGGCCTCAATTCTTCAGCACTCAGCCTTCCTTATGGTCCAACTTTCACAGCCATACATTGCAACTGGGAAAACCATAGCCTTGACTATGCGCACTTTTGTTGGCAGGGTGATGTCTCTGCTTTTTAGTATGCTGTCTAGATTTGCCTTAGTTTTCTTCCCCAGGAGCAAGCATCTTTTAATTTCTTGGCTGCAGTCTCCATCTGCGGTGATCTTGGAGCCCAGGAAAATAAAATCTGTCACTACCTCCATTTCTTCCCCATCTATTTGCCAGGAAGTGAGAGGACCAGATGCCATGATATTAGTTTTCTTAATGTTGACTTTCAAGCCAACTTTTGCACTCTCCTCCTTCACCCGCATCAAGAGGCTCTTCAGTTCCGCTTCTTTCTGCCATTAGAGTGGTATCATCTGCATATCTGAGGTTGTTGATATTTCTCCCAACTGGAATCTTAATTCCAACTGGTGATTCATCTAGCCCCACCTTTCTCATGATGTGCTCTGCATATAAGTTAAATAGGCAGGGCGACAGTATACAGCCTTGCCGAACTCCTTTCTCAATTTTGAACCAATCAGTGGTTCCATGTCCAGTTCTCACTGTTGCTTCTTGACCTGAATATAGGTTTCTCAAGAGACAAATAAGATGGTCTGGGACTCCCATCTCTTTAAGAACTTGCCACAATTTGTTGTGATCCACACAATCAAAGGCTTTACCATAGTCAATGAAACAGATTTTTTTCTGGAACTCCCTAGCTTTCTCCATGATCCAGCATATGTTGGCAATTTGATCTCTAGTTCCCCTCCAGCTTTGAAATCCTGCCTGTACTTCAGTCTTAATCTAGCCACACCTAAATGTGAACTGCCAAAGGCCAATTGAGGAGGAGACTGATCTAACCCTGCTCTCTAAATCAGTTTTAGCTAGTGAGCACACTAACTCAATTAAATGAGTTACACTGACACTTACAGAATCACTTTTAGATATTAAGGAGCATAAAAAATACACCTGCACATAGTTTTAAGGGAACTAATCCTTTAGATTTTTTCAGATTGCTCTGTGATCCATAGCCAATTATTTTGTGGAGGTAGTGGAGAAGAGTGTAGAACAAGTCCAAACCCAGAGGTGGAATAACCAAACTGGTAATGCATAGCCACATAGGGTGTTGTGCAAAGTACCCCAATGGGTTAACCGTGAGTTAAATAAAACATAGGTTAATATAACATGCCAACCAGGTCACTATGGATTACTCAGTCTTGACTCTTGTTTGTAAGGTATTATGGGTTCTCAGTATTTTTTTAAAAATGCATTTTATATCCAATATGCTTCTCTATACAAGAGTCTTTGAATGTTATTGACAAGTTGTGCAAAGATGATCATATCCACAGAGATGACATTTTGCACCCTTCGGATTTTCTTCCCTTTCCAATGTCATTGGTGTCTTCCTTCCTTTAAGACTACAGCCTAACTTCTATGCACTAATTTCATTAGCACACGTTCTAAAAAAAGTTGAAAACAAATCAGTAGCAGGTTAGGCAGAATACATTATAAATACTCTAGGTCTTGACACCTGTTTTCCATTATTTTATTAAAAAAATAAATCTATATCAACATATGTATCAGCTTGCTGCATGACTTATCCTTTACCATAATATTAAGAGAGAAACATTGCATTCTTCACATCTTGAAAAGGAATACAAGCTCCAGGCCATTCTCAGGAATAGAACCGAATAATCAGAAACTAAGATACATCACAACCTGTTAAAAAACAAAAACAAAAATCTCATTTCAACCAAATCAAGATATTGCAACAAATAACCTTGCAATTGGACGTATGTCTTTTGCTAGGTAAATCTCTCTACTATAATGCATTCAAGTAGTACTAAAAGCAATTGCTAAGCCAGCAAATGTTTACATTTGTTTCCAACCCTTGTTTAATGCTTCCTCTTAACTAGCGTCTTTTAATTCCTAGTAACTCTCAGACAATTTTTAGACAAATACTAGGTAACTGAAAGTCAGTTATGCTCTTTTTGTATAATCCCAAGAACTGGTTCTGTATGAATTAATGGAGGAAGTTTTTTCCATGGTTTTCTGCTAACAGTGGTAAGCATGGGGGGGGGGGATATGGCAAAGGTAGGCTTCTTGTTCTTGTTAGGCTTCTTCAGCTGAAATGGATGCTATTTAACCATGCTTATGTGCAGTACTACAGCTGCAAACTGTATGCTCTTTTTATCAATCCTGTGACTTTGGAAATACTTCTTTGGAGAAAGTACTCTTTAAAATGTGGCTGCTGAGCATGTGACCACCAGCAAGAATCAAGAACTAATGCATAGTCGTCTGCCCTTTTGTAAACAGGTTGAAAAGGATGTGTGGCTGTGATGGTTGCATGAATTCCCTGCTTTATCTACAGTCCTGCCAAGGTATTTCATCCAAAACTATCTTCCCCTTTAGAAAGAACACAAAGGTCTCTTTTGGGCAAAGGCATTGTTACACAAAAACAAATAGTATCTCTCTTCTCATTTGGAGTACAGTACCTTCTGAATTTTTCTTTAGAAGTTATGGAAGGTAGTTGTTTTTGTTTGGACTATTAGAGGCCAGTATCATAAGGTGGAACTTTTTTACATAATTTAAAAATCAAATTACATCATGTCAATATGCCAACAAGTTGACTCAATATTATTAGACAACTCTACTTAAAATTAAGAAGCAAGCAAGCAAGCAATGAAATCTAGCAATATTTTGGTTTTCTGGGCATTACAAAAAATAGTAATCATACATTTAAAAATGTTTATCAGATAAAGCACATATGAATGCAACATTCAGAATTCTGACACAGAAATGTAATGTGGGCAGTATGCTGCTGTTTCAAGCCACTTACCAAAATACAATTTTATAATGAAAGAATGTCAGAGTACAATTAAACAACATTCAGGAACCACTAAAAAGGATCCAGTATTATTACTTATGCTGACTGTATTTGATACTGTGCTAAATACTGCTTGAATAAGACTTGTGCAGCATTATCCCAAGCACTTGTGAAATACCCTCTTTCATTATCTGAAGCATTCATTACTGAAGATCATATTGCCTGCGCTTGGATTTAAAATGCAAACCACTCACCTTGGAAACACAATGCATTTAGACACATTCTTACATTGTTGTACATAGTTGAAGTAGAACATCTTGTAACGGCAACTGTAAATCAAAGTATGGATTTGATTACTTTGCTACATAAGCATTCCCCATGCATTCTAGAAGTCTTACTGGGAAATGTTCAATGACAACTTTACTTAACACAGAAAAGTTAACCAATTTATCCTATAAATATTTTCTTTATTTGCATTGTGTCTAGAAGTTACTATTGTTCTATTAACAGAAATTCATAACAAAGGTTTCCTAAGTAGTGAAAAACTTAATTACAAATGTTGAAAAAAGTTGGCCTAATTAACATATGTACAGATTTGTCTAGTTAATACATTGAGGAGAATCTGTTCAATTAATGACACACATTTTATAAGCATCAACAGGAAACTTGATAATACTTGGAGTCCTTAAATTGGGTGGAGTGAATATGGTAAATTTCAGTTTTTTTAATGTCAAGATAACATGCCACAGAAGTATTCAGTCCGAACTGCTGTTGATAAATTGTTCTGTTGCTTCTTGAAAGGACTTCTCTGTCAAACTAGTGTCCTTCTGTCCCTTCTTTCCTTTGTTCTGCTGTTCCTGTAGATTCAAGATTATGTTCCTTATTTCTTCTCGTTTTGTTTTCATTCTTGGGCGTGGAAACCAGTCTGTCAGATTCATTGGTAGTTCAAAGCTTATAATGGGAGTCTGGAGGGCACAAAAGAAGTATGTTATAACAATAGTGTCCACATGGAAAATCTATGTAGTAATGCTGTATAAAGTACTCAAGGCGGCAAACTTCCCACCCTTCTGACCACATTACTTAAGTACTGTAATCCACCCCCCACATCACTTCCTAGTACACAAAATATGAAGCAAATGACCGGTGCAGCTATGAGCACATTCCTTGCAGTGTCTTCCCTTTATTTTAGTTTGTTATTTATAAACATTTCATAGCTGTTTACAGATTCTGAAAATGCAATAAAATAAGGCAATACAAAATAAAACATAGCAGCAAAAATCAGAAAGCAATGGAAGTTAAGGGAGACAGAAGCGGCTAGTTCCTTCCAAAATTGTTACATGCTATCTTTGCCTCCTCTGTTAAGAGCTAATTGAAGCACCCATCCATCTTCCATCAAGTCAGTATATGCAGGTTGGATGCAATTTCTTTACTGAATACTGCTAGTTGAATAATTAGTTCATCTTGTCTTGAAAAGAGATACTTTGAGAGAAGTTAGGTCTCACACTAGTGGCTGATGGATCAGGTAGATATGTTAGGGCCTTTGTCTAGGAATGAGAAGGTGGAGCACTGGTTTCTCATTTGCGTATCATCACTCCAAGTCATTGCCCACTCTCCCTGTAGGCATGGGTTAAGTGAAGCTCTGCATAGGAAGTCTGGCTTCAAAGGGTGGTCAAAGTAAGTCACTCTTCTTTCATTTCCAGTGGTTAGTCTCTTTTCTGCTTGTTCCTATAACTGCTACTACTACCTTCTAAACAAGGTTTCCCTTACCACCTTTTTATTTTTATTTATTTATTTATTTATTTATTTATTTATTTATTTATATTTATTTATTTATTTTTCAATTTATATCCTGCCTTTTTCCTACAAAGGGCTCAAGGCAGCTTACATCTCCTCCTCGATCTTATGTGGAACCTTCTCTCCCTTCTCTCCACATAGTCCCTCTGTCCAGCCTTTTCCAGCATCTTACATCATCCCTGGCTTGGGACTTCTTTGCTCCAGCTGCCTGGCCTACCACACAGCACTGACTCTACTTTGCCTTTTCATTTCCGCCTCAACTACACCATTCCCAAAAACCCACCCCAGCTAGTTGTCTTGGCATATTTTCTGCCACTGTTGGACCCAATTGAAGCTAGGAAGTTATAGCACTTACTCAAATGCCTCCATAGAGAAAATATCCTCTGAAATAATCAAGACCCAAACTTTGTAAAGGAATACTTTACAAATTCAGTTTTTGTGAATTCTGATGCAAAATGAGCTAAATTGCATCTTTCAAAATAATATGTAGGAACTTGATTTTGCATTTGCTGTATGTTCTACTATAATACTTGGCCAAATCTGTGGCTTGCACCATTGTTGTACTCTAGGAATTGTTAGTTGCTTTGACCATTTTAAGTGGAATAATACTGTATTAAATACCCATATGAATCTTACCAAATGAATCACAGACAGTCTTAAAGGACTGCATTATGTCCAGCTGGAAGGAAGGAATTCAGAATATAACTGGAAAAAGCCAACAAAGGGCTTTTAAAACCATCTACTCCAGCTTTCTTTTTGTTTATTGTTTTATGATGCTTATAGGTTTGGAAACATATTGATTAGTGTGTGCACGTGCATGCATTTTGAGCTGCCTTGAGTTTCTTTCCGCAAAAAGACAACTAAAAATACTCCAAAAAAATTCCATACTTATTTGTGCAAGGGCAGCATCCAGCAGGGTTATCCCAATTACCGTCTTCTGCTCAATCTGTTCATGCAACAGGGCTTTCAAGCTCATAAAAATAACTTCATAAATGAGCAGGATTGCTTGTTTCTACATTGGAACAGGTAAGGGAGCTTTGTTCTTAAGAGTTCTGGTAACCTTCCCTATTCCGGAAACCAGCACTCGATTATTCTTAGAAGCATGAAAGCACAGTTGTGCAAGCTGTTGCTCCCACATGCGCCTACGCACAATAGGGTAATACCCATATGTTTAATTTCCCTACAATAAAACCACTAACCTTAAGATTCTTCTCAAATAAATGGCTCAGTATAAAATTTTTTAAATGTTTTACTTTGTCATTTTACTCAGGTACACCTTAACTACTATATTCCATGCATCATTAAGCTCACATTTAAATTACTGCAGTGCACTTCATGTGGGGCAACGCTTGTGCTTGAACTGGAATCTGGAACTGTTGCAGTATGTGCACATATTGCACTGGTACTGAAGCCACTGCTCTGACTACCTGCTAGCTACCAGGTCAAATTCTTTTGAGAGGCACCAAACACCATGTTTTTAGGTGTCTGCTAAAAGTCACACCTCTTTGCTCAGGCCTTCTTTTCTGGTTGATTGTGCTGCCTGCTTTAATTGCTTTTTAAACGTTTGATGATTATCTGTATTTATTACAATGTTGTATTTTAATAGGACTCAGACAATCTGGATTACATTTCCCACTCAGCCATGGAGCCAACTAAGTGACTCTGGGCCAGTCAAGACACTCAGGCTACCTCACAGGGATATTGCTGCAGGGATAAGATTGAGGGCAGTGGGAGGAGTATGATATAAGTTGCTTTGAGTTCTTTAAAAAAAAGAAAAAAAGGCAGGATATAAATCTAATAAACAAACCACGTTGATAAATATAAATATGCTAAGTTAAGCAGTACATAAACTGATCAAAATAAATATAGGGAGAATATGAATATTCCAAGTTGATAAACTTGGAATAAGTTAATAAAATGGAGTAAGTTAATAAAGTTAATAAATAATATTAAGTTTATTAACTTAATAATAAGTTAATAAAATGCTGGGCATGCATGTCTCTAGAAATCTCTGTGGTTACTCATTCCAACTTAATATTCAAATGCCAACTGTACTGAAGTGGTTAACTAAAAATATCAGCAACTCACTTCAAAAAAGCTTTCCACATACTGTAGAACATAAACACCACAATCGCTGAAGTTGTTCTGCTGTGGCACTTTAGGATTTGAGCCTTTCATGACATCTTTGGAGAAACTTCGTTTACTACCTTTCCTGACTTCCCACTCCACTTCCAAGTATCTGCAAAACAAACAATATAGCTCAGATTTTTTTTTACAGCGTGTTTCAATTTCACATAAAAGGTTTTGCATTGGAAATTAGCTACTCACTCCCTTAGTGTTCTGACGACATTTGATCTGGAAGGGCCTCTCAATGAATCCATAAGCAAAATGCAAGGCCTACAAGTAAACACAGTATTTTTCCTCCATTAGGGCTACAGAATAAAGCAGCAGCTTCTTGTTAGAGCCAGGCCAGAGTGTCTTCAATTCCCCTGCAGCTCCCAGAGCAGCCTCCCATGTCATCTGAAGTTCCCCAGCCTTGCAAAACAGCATTAGAGATAGGGCTGGGAAGAGCAAGGGAAAGGGAAAAATTGAACAAAAGAACAACACTGCCTTTCCCTCTTCCTCCTCTATAAACTCTGGATCAAACTCAAAGGTTTTAGTCTCATTAAAAAAACTGTTACACAGAGTTAGACTTATTCACAGACAGTTATAAATACCTTTATTTAAAACTTACTGTTTACATATAGTGGGCTTCAGATGCCATTGTCCTAATTCTGAATTACAAGTGTCATCTGCAAGGCCATCATCATCACTGCTATTGTCCTGGAAAATAAATGTGTTATTATTTTAAAAGATTCTCTCAGACTCAGAGAAGCTAAATTTATAAATAAAGCCAAGAAGTACATTCCCTACTGGCCTACTTCAAATCAAATATAACATATCCTGACATATTGATAAGGTTTTTAACCATTACAGCAGAATAATTTTCTTCTTAATATTTGTGAATACTGAAAACATACTAGTTAGCATACCTGGAAAGTTGTAAGAATTGGACACTTTTAAAATAACTTTCTAGTATACTATCATTCTATTTACACTAGAGTAATGAATCTCCCTTAGGATTTTAAAATCATCATATACAAAAACATTCCCATAATATAGGTAATTAGATTTTGTGTGAAGCTATAAAGTGACTTTTTTAGTGACTGCAATAATGGATAAAGCTTGCCTTCTAGTGGCTGAAACTGGAAAGTTAACTATGAATGTACTATCCTAATGAGCTCCTGTAGATAATACAGTACCTTAATTAAAGTGCAAAAAGCAGTGCTAGTAGCACTAGGAAACAAATTTAATATCTACCTATAACCAAGCAGGGATAAATAATAACCATCTTTTAATCATTTCCCTTTGCACTGTCACAAAAGTACACTGAAACATCACACTGCTATCTTAATAGTTTATTCCTTTTAAATCAGTGCCTATTAAAGTGGTTGGAGAAGCTTACAATGCACCCAACACCCTATACATATGCTAAACTGAAATTACCTCACACACATTACCTCACGCTCATAAATGCCAAAATACAAAACATATAATTATGTATAAAAGTATCACGGTGAGTTAAGATATGTTAATTGGTTGCTTGTTGCCCTATAATACCCAGTTTCACTGTAATACTTTGTTTTAAACACTGTAGGAAAAAGTTTAGTCTTACAGCTAAAGAATACTGGTTACCTAAGTAAAGTTGTTAGAATTTTTACCTGGTTATCTTGATCTTCTGAAAAATCTATAAGCTCATCTTCATTTAATTTGCCACTGTCAGCTGAATCTTCACTATAGTTTAGCCTAATTTTCTGTAAGCCATCTGCATTAACCATAAAAATTAGTAAATTATAAAAAGTGTCATACACATAGATGATCTCTCAGAGAGAAAAGTGAAGCATGAAGTGGAGTCAATGGATATTATGCCAGCAATAATCCTGAAGAACAAATGATTAACTGAAATAAGTCTTGCAAAATAAGTGAACCATATTTTTGCAAATATACATTTCCTCATTAACAATGCAAATCTGTACATGTCCACTTAGAAGCAACTCCCAAGTTTAAATGATAACAGATTGCAGCTTCAACCATTATATTTAAAATACCTACTATATTCCAAGGTTTATTTATTTATGGGCTACTTTTTAACCCAAATAGGACTTAATTGTCATGTTTTGCAATTTCAAACATAAAAAAAAAACAACCAAATAGTTACAGTTTCAGAAGGAGTTGCCTTGTGCCTTATCCATCTCCCTGCAGACATGGCTCAGCTGAGGCTTTTTCAGATGGACAGAAGTGTTCACCTGAACAATTTTACAATTTTGAAAAGTTCAAAGGCATTTGTACAAGTAACTGCACTAAAGATATTTTAAAGGGGGAGTGACAAACCAATGACAGCCCTTCAGGTGTGCCATTGGAGTACTTTGAAGGGGCTGTTACTAGCTCTCAAAGCTCTGTTTTTTTAAATCTCTGGAAAAGAAAGAAAAGCGGGGAGGGGGGAGGGAGCTGCTGCAAGTGTAAAAGGGGGAGCTAGCACTGGCAGTTGCCGGAGCTAGGTCAGCAAGACTGACAAGAGGTTTCTGCAGCTCTTCCAAAGTGCCTTGCTCTAGAAATTTCCTGTAAGATGCGTTAGGGTTGGTTGTTGTATCAAGGAAACAACAACTGGGTTTGGTTAACTAGCTGATCACTTGTTACTCTCCTTTTCCTTTGTATATTATAAACAAGTGAATACATGGAAGAATTCAAAACTCCTTATTTTAGCAAACAAGGAAATTCAGTACCTTAAGTGAGCAACAGCAGCTGTTCTCTAATTCTGAAAATAGCTTTTGCCTTTAACCATCCACATTTTCAAGAGAAAAAATTCAAAAATGACCAAAGAATCCATCTTGTATCACGTGTAAGAAAGCTAATATTAACTACCTTTGCCATTAATGTACCAAGCCCAATAGTAACACACAAACAGTAATTTTAGAACTGCTGGAGCTCTGGGGAGGGGCTGACTAAAATTTCATCCTAATTCAGATACCCCAAATAATAAAAAAAATAATAAACCTTACAATTAAACTTATCCGACACATAGTCACCTGGAAGTACCTGGTGCTCCAGCAAAAAATGAGCAGGTTTGCATAATCACCCCAGTACAAATGCGCTGCAGAGTGTGCCAACAACCAACCCACCTATTCCTGCCAAGGATTTGGATGGTTGCCATGACATCTGAGCCTGGAAGGCATGGCTTGTTGGAGGAGAAAAGAACCCTCCTTCAATAAAACATGGGCACACCATGGCAACTCCCCACCACAACCCACAATAGCTTAAAGAAACAATGATGGGCTGCATGGAGCATACAAACTACCCCAGTATCATTTCTGGTCTGAAAAAGTCCTTAAGCTGTGCCCCTCTTCTGCTACATTACTACTCACACAACCACTTCACTTTTACTATGAATCAGCTGAAACTGATTAGAATAATTTGAAGCATGCCTAATGGAAAGTGTGCAATCTCCCCTCCTACAGCAATGTTAGAGGGGGTTCTATTAAAAGAATTGGAAATATCTAGCTGAGAAACTGCCTTATGAGGCAGTTTGCTTATCAGAGTACTATCTGCTCTTCAATGGTATCTATTCTCCCGGGTTTCAGAAAGCGCTCTATCATGGCTATGTTGGCTGAGACCCTTTTAACTAAAAATGCTGGACTGGAACAGACTTTCTTCATGCACAGTATGCATTCCAGGTTACTAGGACCAAAATGGGAAGACAAATATTATTTTGGAGACTTCAAATACAACAGCTGTCAAACCACAGTGCTTTGTATATATTCAGAAATGTACATACATGGATGTTTCCATATCCGTGTCCCTAAACCTCGTTCTAACAATGATCATGAGTTGCAAATAGTGGCAACCCCTCCCCCTGCTACTGTAAAGTCACTAACAGTGGCACTTCGGAGCAATCATCACGGGTTCACCACCCTTTAAAAATGTTTTCGTCCCTAAAATTGTGCAAATGTTTGTTTTCTTCATCACTTTTGTAAGCATATGTGTAGTCTTGCTTGATCAATGTCCCTCTATGATTTGGCTGTCAAAGGGAATTGCAGCACAGAGCACTACTGTTGTGGTAATTACAGTCTCAAACACTTAGCAAGAGTTTAAAAAAAAAAAAACCCTGAAAAGACAGAGTGAATGGGTTCTCATGGAAGTGTCAGTGTAAGTTCCCAAGTGGCCTATTTGTTCCATCCTGGTCTGCCACCAATATGAAAGTTAGGGGTTTTTTCTGTTTTGTACAAACCTGTCAGGAATATTTGTGCAACTTCTTGGACTGGAAATATATGCACATTTAATGACAGAAGTAAATAGAAGGGAATTCTTCCTAAATTTAAGGTCTGGGAAGTAAAAGGGAGAAATTTGTATACCTGCAGTTAATAGATCAGTGAATGCAGATGAGCAAATTGTTCTTCTATTTACTTCTCAAACATTAAATTTGCTTATTTCTGCAGTTTTTAGAACTGTCAGGAAGCTGTAGCAATAAGTGCTCCAAAAAGGCCCAGCTAAAGAGAGGTGGAGTTAATTATCTCTACTTCTTGGAGCTGCTAGAAATTCAGGGAAGGTGAAAAGAGTTGAGCTATGTCAGCTCAGCATTCAAAACTGAAAGGATTATATTGCTGAGAAGGAGAGAATTTCCTCACTGCCATTTTTGGTGCATTTTCTGACAACTGTGTACAAATTTGCCTGCAGGCAAATATCCATGAATGCTACCTACTCTTTGGTGTGACTGCACTTGGAATATTGTGTTTACTGTAGGTAAGGCGACCAGAACTGAAGGGCAACAAAAATGATCAGGGGACTAGAGCAACTCCCCTATGAGGAATGGCTGCAACAACAGGGAAATTCAGCTGAGAAAAAAGGCAGATAAGGGGAGACATGGTAGAGAGTTTTAAAATCTATGGTATAGAGGAAGTAGAGAGGGAGACATTTTCCCCCCACTACCACAACACTTGAGCCCAGTCATCCCATGAAGCTGATTGGTGGGAGGTTTTAGACAGATAATAGGAAGTACTTCACAGTGTATAAACTATGGAATTTGCTGGGTCACTTTTTAAAAAGATTGGACAGATTTATGAGGAAGGAGGCTATCAGTGGCATGCCTGTATTCACCGATTGCTGAGGAGCTTGGACAGGAGATGGTCTTACACCCATCCTGCCTTGGTCTGATCCAGCATGTATTTTCTTATATTCTCCAGCTCCACTGACAGCTGAAACATACAAGGAACAAGCAAGACTACACATACTGGACTGTTTTAAGAATGCACGTGCAAAAAGCTACCAAGAGTATTAGTATTATGAAAACCATTGTGCAAGTTTCTGGGACTAACAAAAATGTAAATAAAACCTCAATTGTACATTTTAAGGCTATGCTTTTTTTAAAAGAAAAGTTTTGAAAGAGGGTAGTGATCAGAGTAGGGAGGTGGCAACAACACAATCAATACAGTGTAATTTATTCAAAAAGCAGATCATCATGTTGTGCAAACTTGTCCATTGCTTTTGAGCAGATATCTTAATATATCAAATTCCAAGAAAAATTTCTGTGCTCTTGATACTAAAACGAACATAGAGAGGCAAGAGTACGCACCAACAGCCTGAATGTGAGTTTTATGTTCACTCTGCATGCCATTCGCCTCTGTAGCCCTGTGGTCATGTTTATGACATACAAGTTCCACAGTTCTGAGTTCTTCTGTGGTGCTATTTAACTGATTCAGTTTTTTAAAGCCACCTTTCACGGAAGGGCTTCTTTTGCAGTATAGCGACTCACTCTCCTCAGCCTCTGGGCTTGTGTCAGTTAAGCCTGCAATTTGCTTCTTGTTCAGCACCTTCTTTGTTATTGTTGCAGAGGGGGATTGATGTAATATATCCAATTCACTAGGTAAAGGAGGTGAAGTGCTTGAGTCTTGATCTAAAGAGGAAGATTTAACTTGTGAAGGTACAGTTTCCTGGTAATATGGATTGGTCTCATATATGGGTTTCTCTAAACCTGGAAAGCAGATCACAGCCAAAAACCAATGTGCTCTGCAAAAGAAAAGCACACAAGCAAATAAAAATAACTAAGCCGCCATCTTAACATGTGCTATAATACTAAACATGTTTTGGCTTCCTTTACTGACCAACTAAAAATCAGTTATTGCCAGGTCTTTCTCCCACACAGAGATGTGCTAATGATACTACATCCCTGAAATGCAACATGAAGTGGTCAAGGGAAGTCCCTTGCTCCTCTGTACACACAAAGATGAGAAGAGGGAGCACAAAACAAACTCCAGCTCCTCAGAAGTTCAGAGCCAAATTTGGGCAAAATCTTGAAGCTTCCTATGTTCCCAACAGGTGCTGCAATTTCAACATAACCATTGCTGCACACCTAGCCACTGAAGCTTTTCATGGCACAGAGACCAGAGGATGTACTTCATATTCCCACTGCAGTTTCAAGAAGAAATAAGGGGGAAGAAAATAGGTGATCCATCTTCAAGTGTCTGCCAGAAGCAGTGATTCTGCTCTCCATTAGACCCCAAGCCAATTGTTGTTGTTAGTTGCGAAGTCGTGTCTGACCCATCACGACCCCATGGACAACATTCCTCCAGCCTTCCTGTCCTCCACCATCCCCCGAGTCCACTTAAGCTCACACCAACTGCTTCAGTGACGCCATCCAGCCACCTCATTCTTTGCCGTCCCCTTCTTCTTTGGCCATCTATTGTTCCCAGCATTAGGCCCCTCTCCAGGGAGTCCTTCCTTCACATTAGGTAGCCAAATTATTTGAGTTTCATCTTCAGTATCTGGCCTTCTAAAGAGCAGTCAGGGTTGATCTCCTCTAGGACTGACCGACTTGATCACCTTGCGGTCCAAGGCACTCGCAGGAATCTCCTCCAGCACCACAATTCAAAGGCCTCAATTCTTCAGCACTCAGCCTTCCTTATGGTCCAGCTTTCACAGCCATACATTGCAACTGGGAAAACCATAGCCTTGACTATACACACTTCTGTTGGCAGGATAATGTCTCTGCTTTTTCGTATGCTGTCTAGATTTGCCACAGGGGCAAGCGTCTTTTAATTTCTTGGCTGCAGTCCCCGTCTGTGGTGATCTTGGAGCCCAGGAAAATAAAATCTGTCACTACCTCCATTTCTTCCCCATCTATTTGCCAGGAAGTGAGAGGACCGGATGCCATGATATTAGTTTTCTTAATGTTGACTTTCAAGCCAACTTTTGCACTCTCCTCCTACACCCGCATCAAGAGGCTCTTTAGTTCCTCTTCACTTTCTGCCATTAGAGTGGTATCATCTGCATATCTGAGGTTGTTATTTCTCCCAGCAATCTTAATTCCAACTGGTGATTCACCCGCCTTTCTCATGATGTGCTCTGCATATAAGTGAAATAGGCAGAGTGACAGTATACAGCCTTGCCGAACTCTGTTCTCAATTTTGAACCAATCAGTGGTTCTGTGTCCAGTTCTCACTGTTGCCTCTTGACTGCATATAGATTTCTCAAGAGACAAAGAAGATGGTCTGGGACTCCCATCTCTTTAAGAACTTGCCACAATTTGTTATGATCCACACAATCAAAGGCTTTAGCATAGTCAATGAAACAGAAGTAGATGTTTTTCTGGAACTCCCTAGCTTTCTCCATGATCCACCGTATGTTGGCAATTTGATCTCTAGTTCCTCTCCCTCTTCGAAATCCTGCCTGTACTTCTGGTAGTTCTCAGCCCACATACTGCTCGTAGCTTGCAGGATTTTGAACATCACTTTGCTAGCATGTGAAATGCGTGCAATGGTGCAGTACTATGAACATTCTTTGGCATTGCCCTTCTTTGGGATCAGACTGTAAACTGACCTTTTCCAATCCTGTGGCCAATGTTGAGTTTTCCAAGTTTGCTGGCGTACTGAGTGTAGCACTTTTACTGCATCATCTTTTAAGATTTTGAATAGCTAAGCTGGAATACTGTCACCTCCACTAGTTTGTTGTTGCTCAGACTTCCTAAAGCCCATTTGACTTCACATTCCAGGATGTCTGGCTCGAGGTCAGTGACCACCGCATTGTGGTTCTCAGGGACGTTAAGCTCTTTCTTGTATAGTTCTTCTGTGTAATCTTGCCACCTCTTCTTAATCTCTTTTGCCTCTGTTAGGTCCCTGCCATTTTGGTCCTTTATCATGCCCATCTTTCATGAAACGTTCCCTTCATATCTCCAATTTTCTTGAAGAGATCTCTGGTCCTACCTATTGTTTTTTTCTATTTCTTTGCACTGTTCATTGAAGAAGGCATTCTTATCTCTTCTAGCTATTCTCTGGAATTCTGCATTCAATTGGGTGTATCTTTCTCTTTCTCCCTTGCCTTTCGCTTCCCTTCTTTCCTCAGCTATTTGGAAAGCTTCCTTAGACAGCCATTTTGCTTTTTTGCATTTCTTTTTCTTTGGAATGGTTTTAGTTGCTACCTCTTGCACAGTGTTGCGAATCTCTGTCCATAGTTCTTCAGGCACTCTGTCTATCAGATCTAATGCCTTAAATCTATTTGTCACCTCCACTGTATATTCATCAGGAATATGATTTAGGTCATACATGAGTGGCCTAGTGCTTTTCCCTACTTTCTTCAATCTTAAGCCTAAATTTTGCAACAAGAAGCTCATGATCTGAGCCACAGTCAGCTCCTGGTCTAGTTTTTACTGACTGTATAGAGCTTCTCCATCTTTGGCTGCAGAGCTCACAGTCAATCTGATTTCTGTGTTGACCGTCTGGTGAAGTCCATGTGTAGATTTGTCTCTTGGGTTGTTGGAAAAGAGTGTTTGCTATGAGCATCATATTCTCTTGACAAAATTCTACCAGCCTGAGCCCTGATTCATTTTGTACTCCAAGGCCAAACTTGCCTGTTATTCCGGTTATCTTTTGGCTTCCTACTTTAGCATTCCAATCCGCAATGATGGTAAGGACATCATTTTTGGTGTTAATTCTAGAAGGTGTTGTAGGCCTTCATAGAACCAGTCAACTTCCGCCTCTTCAGCACCAGTGGTTGGGGCATAGACTTGGACTACTATGATGTTGAATGCTTTGCCTTGGATTCGAACTGAGATCATTCTGTCATTTTGGAGATTGTATCCCAGTACTGCTTTTCCTACTCTTTTATTGACTATGAAGGCTACTCCATTTCTTCTGAGGGATTCTTGCCTACAGTAGTATACCTGATGGTCATCTGAATTAAATTCACCCATTCCTGTCCATTTTGGTTCAATGATTCCTAAGATGTCAATGTTTAGTCTTGTCATCTCTTGTTTGACCACATCCAGCTTGTCTTGATTCATGGATCTTACATTCCAGGCTCCTATGGAGTATAGATCTTTGCAGCATCGGACTCTCCTTTCACCACCAGATACATCTGCAACTGAGTGTCCTTTTGACTTTGACCCAGTCGCTTCATTCTTTCTGGTACTACTATTACTAGTCCTCTGCTCTTCCCCAGTAGCATATTGGATACCTTTCGACTTGAGGGGCTCATCTGCTGGTGTCATATCTTTTTCCCTTTTGGTACTGTCCATGGGGTTTTCATGACAAAGATACTGGAGTGGGTTGCCATTTCCTTCCCCAGTGGATCACATTTTGTTAGAGCTCTCTGCTATGACCTGTCCATCTTGAGTGGCCCTGCACGGCATAGCTCATAGCTTCATTGAGCTACGCAAGCACGCTTGCCATGTCAAGGCAAAAGTGGGGCATGTTCTCCCTCTATGCATGAAAGCAAAGGGAGCCTCCAAAAGCCTAAGATTTGATGCAGCATGGTCTTATAAAAGATCATGTTATATTGTTAAATCCAACTGCAGCAAATTGGAAACATCCAAAGGGCACTAGACATTTGAGGATGTCTGTCGTATGACTAAAAATAATGAAGTTCCAGAGCTACCCATATGCAAGTCCTACTTACGCTTCATTGAGAGGAACAAAAATAAAATCTTTTGCAAAAATATCAACATGTCGTGTCCATGTTTTCACTCGGCCATGCCGTTTCTGCTGAATTCTGGAACGAACAAGACAAAAAATTAAATTATAATTAAAGGAGTATGTGTTCTTTCTACCTACAGTAAGAGTTCGTCTATCAGCAGCACAGCTTAAGCGTACTAACTCTTTGAAGAGGTTCAGAGCCCACATTCTGTGTTCCTTTGGCATGAATAACCTTTTTAAAAGCTTACAAGAATTGCCAAATAGGAACACTAGCCATAACTTCCTGCTGCTATCCTTTACACCATCTACTACAGTACAGGTGGGCTACCTTTAGGGTACAAACACCAATTCTTAATCCATCAGAAACCACACCCCACTGAAAATTTGGAAGAGTAGGGAGGAAAGCCTTTTTAAAAGGAGGTGAGAAAAATATATGTTTTCTTCTAAAGTAAAATGGCTTTTCTAGGAAGTATCTGCAGATTTTGCTTTAAAACATAGAACCCCTTGCATGCTTCATTTAAAGAGAAATGGCAGTGTGTGTCTGCCTGCACTTTTCCACCAAAACTTAGTAGGAAATTCAGTGGTGGAAATTCAACAAACCATACTGTAATAATCACATTTTGTGCCCACAGACATACATTTTCTAACTCCCCTCAGAATGAAAAAGGTTCACCACTCTGAACTACTAGCTGGATATAAAAAGCAAATTACTATTTTGTTTTTCTACTCAGTTTATGATCAATACTTGCTACTTGTTATGTTCTGGACATAACAGTTCAACAATGATTTAGCATTAAAAACACAAGCACTGGGCTTTTGCCCTTCCCTTCTCTGGCACAGCCATAGGATTGGAAGCTTTCGCTTCCATTTTCAATTTATCATGGTTATTATGTCAAGCCCAGAACTATGACTGAATCATAACTATAGGATCCCCAGATGTTAGACCGTAATGTCCAACACCTCCAGCCCTGGTCAAGGAGGATAGAAAATGCAATCCAATATTTGGGGGCAACAGGTTTGGAAAGACTACTTTAGAGATACAAACTATAGTATGAAGTTGTCTTCTTTCCCTAAACCATACCAATAAGACTAACCAAAGTTAGTCAAGGTTCAGTCAAGACAATTAACTTCAAGTAGTTAAACATAGAAGCAAACACTTCCAATCTCCTTGGGCTGCACCAATGGAGGAGGAGGAGGGCATAAAAGTGTGCTCACATAAAGCTAAGCTCAGCATAGCTTCAGAAGAAGGCCACTGTTTCTACAAGAGCTGGAAACTGGAATTCCTCAAATATATATTTTAACCAGATTTACGTGAGTTTTGAGGTTTCTTGAAGATTTCTCCTTTCTCTTTGATTAAGGCGTTTGTAGAAGAAGGAACTGAACACATGAATCCTATCAGCATCTTCTTTTTTCAATTTTTCAAGCACCAGGTACCTTTATTTTGAAAAAGAGAGCCAAGCACACAAAGATTTGTTTCCAGCGCTTCCATTCTTGTCTATAAAGCTTTATTTCTCTAGAAAAGGTAAAGGTTGCTACACATAAGCTATCCTACCAAAACAAAAACAGCTTGCCAAAAGAGGTACAGAATTTCCCACCAAAGAAATAGCCATACAAAGGGCAACAAACAAACAACCCTGGGAGATCTTTCAGATTCCCTGACAAGGACCAATTAGCTTCAATTTTGGAAGTAGGATTTACTGTTGCAGATGAATGTGGATAAATCCTATCAATAGAAAAAACTGGTTTTGACATGAAAAGATTTGAATTATAGTACCTTTATATAAAACAGGTGGCATATTAAATGTATTTATTGAATTTATATTCTGTATTTCCACTACAAACAATGCCTAAGAAGGCTACTAAAAATAACACAATTATAATTAAAGCACTAAAGCGATTAAATAAAATCGTATACATAAGAAACAAGGACTTCCACAAGACTGACGCCTGTCAAACAGCCTGATTCGAAGCAGCGTAAGATGGGGGTTGGCAACATGCCGCCTGACAGGGCCACACCAGCTTCCCCACCAGACTGCTTCCTCCTCACCAATCATCTCTGCAGCCAGGAAATGGCAAGCAGCAGAAGTGGCAGTAGAAGCAGGCAAGTGTGTGGGCAGGAGCAGCTGGCAGAAATGTGATGTGCAGCAGCGGGCAGCAGAAGTGCTAGAGGCACATGAAACACTCCAGAGGGACTGCAAACCCATGTACCAGAATAAATAAGACTTCCTAAGTGAAACAGACACCACACAACTTACTTTAAATAAAAATCAATGATTACGTCGTTTAAAAATTCTCCTCCATTTAAACAATGAAGATCTTCATTGGTAACAGAAATGCCACCCTTTGACGGAGGAGGGGGATATACGATCAATCTGCAAAGAAAAATATGTTAGAGACAGAACTCTTAAAATGTAAAAAAGCATAATAATATTTAGAAAGATCTCTTACTTTTCTATAGGGCCAATAAAAACAGTATGTGGTTCCCCACTTTCATCATCATCAAAAAACTGGAACTGTGTTGCATTTCTCAGTTGCATCTTAGATTCAACCTTAGAAAAAATAGAATGTAACGCAAAGGATTAGAATATTTACCAACTCCTTAATGTACCACTTTTCCCTAGAACAATTTCTTGAAACCAGTTCTAACACACTGGCTTGGGTTTGGTTCAGCTATAACATTCTCAGCTTAATAAATAGAAAACTATCACCAAACCCATGCATGTCTCGCTTGCTTCTTCTATCTTCCACTTGAATTCTAGCTTCAGAACAGAGATCCTGGTTTGTCTGAACCAGTATTTTCTATTATCTCTAAAGCAGGTAATTCTAGTTTAATGTTAGTTTACTAACCAGGATATGAGCAGAAGAATCCTGGGACAGGGAAGAAGGAATTGAAGAGATGGAAAAACTAATACTTCCAAAGCACTGCCAACTTATGTCAGCTAGGCTGGAATATGTACATGGGGATTATCTGAAAACAAGCCCAACAAATGTAGATAGTTTTAAATTTTCACCTTTCCAGTTAATCCAATGGTAGGCAGGAGAGAGATTAACTGTGACAAATTCTGGAGGGGCTTTAGATCCAGTAGAATCAAGTCTGCTTTCAACACTTCCCATTTCAGGAGTCTACAACCACTGCTAACAGTAGGTTGATGCTGGTGGGGCTTTTCATAGACACACAGAGACCTCCACAGATATGCCCCTCTTTCCCCACTTGGCAGGATTCCTTTCTGCTGGTGGAAAGGCAACTTAGACCTCAACCAAAACCTCCTCAGCAAACAGCTCTGCAGGTTCGGAATGCCATGAGTCAGGGTCAGCTCTTGGCTTATTTTGGTTAGTAGACGAACATTTCACTAGGACTTTCCATTTCAGATATAATAAAAAAAGCCAGTTTAAACAAAATTGCTTCTGAAGCAACTTCACAGAAGAAAATTATATCCAAACAGCCCAAGGAAAAAAATTAAAATAGAATGAATTAAAGATACACAACCTCCACTCTTTTTCCTGAAATAATGCATTGTACCATGCTACGTGCAAAAAGAACAGTTAAAAGAAAGTAAATAGTGTTTTAAAGTTTTGGGCATTGCAATAAAATGCCTTTACAGTTATATTAACTAAAAACAGAAGCTTTGAACTTTCTTCTTTAATATTTTAGTGAAAATGTGGGAGCAAGTGACATTGAAAAGAATATTTGCAAATTGACAACATTATTTAACATTAATACAAATTTTAATAAAAAGTAGTACATGTTTTGGTTTGCCTTCTTTATGAGCCGTGTTCCCTCTAGAAGTGTCTTCAAATGATTTTGTAAAGGCCACAAGCCTACTATTTGCTTCTTCAAAAGTAATTTTCACAAAAAAATCAGAGATGTTGTTCCTGATACCAATATCCATGATTATTTTTTCAAATATTGCATTTGCATGAGGATCAAGGCCGGTCTCAAATATTAAAATGATGTACTGTTCTTCTGGATCTGTGAAAAAAGAAATTCATGCTAGTACACAAATTACTGTACATTTATAGTTCAGTTTGTTAAATATAAGATTTGTCTAACCCTCAAACAATCCTTAACATCTGTGTTCATACAAGATGACATTAGGTACGTACAGATACCATTAAAAAAATTTGGTTCTGGGCAGGCTAAATAAAGAGGCCTACTTTCTAGATGGAAATATATGTTTAGCTACATCAAATTGATAATACATATTTCGGAATGATTTTCTTTAAAAAGTGTGCATAAGCCAATGTGCTTTATTAGTTTTAAATTAAATTGCTTGAACACAGAAAAGCATATAAGAACTGCAGCATCAAGTACAACAAAGTAGTTCTAATATATATATATATTTAAAGGACATCTTTAGAATATGGGCCTCACATGCTCTAGTTAAATATGTTTCTATCACAGGGACATTTTTCCGTACAAAGAGGTAAAGCATGTACTACCAAGATCTACTAATCTATTCATGCATGGTTTGAGGTTAATGCAATTAACCTGAATACAGAAGTTAATACTGATGCTGACAAAATGGGACCACTAGCTTTTAACAAAGTTATTTAAGTTGATTTCAGAAAACTGTATGATAATGAACATAGTTTATTGATAAACCACTCTGCATGACATATTTCTCATTAGAAAAAGCAAAAAACCCTAAGTCTGAAAAGCAAATGTTCACTTACTTGCCCCTTTGCAGTCATACCAGACATTATCCTTCTCCCTGTTCATCTTCAGTTGCGATCTCAAACTTTGGCAGGCAGAAGGTATAGTTTGCAGGAAAACTACTGGCAACTTGCGTACCCCACACCATTCACACTTGGTAAGTTCAGAGGTTTTTAAATTAATATCATTAGTATCATTTTCTGACTCTAGAAGGTTACAAATAAAAATTCAAAGTTATACTGAATTATTCTGAAACCTTTGTTTCATATAACAAGTTTTAAAGCAAAAATTAATTCAGTGAACACAGAATGAATCATTACTATTCCCAAAGTCAGAAAAGTCAGAAAGACAAAGACTCAGTAAACATTAGTTTCTCCCTGTGGTCTGTTCAATATTAATTAACTTATATGGAATGAAGCCTGTTACTTAAGAAGTTGGGAATATTTCACAGTAGCTATATCATGTAAAGCTTGGCTATGAGTGCTATCCAACTAATACCACGCAGCACTGAAATGGCTTCTGTCAGGAATAACTAGGGGACCCTGCAGAGCAAATTTTGCAGATATGAAAGACAGGGATGTGGTGGAGGAAGAGAGGTAAACATTTCCTTGGATAATTTCCTATAAGCTTAGAAGCAAAGACAGGGGCTTGCATCAAAAACTACAATTGTACAAGCAGATGTACTTGTGCAAGAACCACCTATTACTGATACTCTCTTTTACTGAAAAACCACTCCTACCACATCTTACACTCAGCATCAGCTTTTGGGAGCCACAGAGAGCTGCAATAAGAAGGAATGTATGGGGGAAATCCTATTGTGACTAAAATTCTGTTTGCATGTTTTTTTGGATCCAAGCCAGGATTTCTAACACTGCCTGTACCCCTGATGTGCAGAGCAGAGACAGAATATGGTCCTCCTCACCATTTTATCCTCACAACAACCCTGTGAAGTAGTTTAGGCTAAGAATCTGTGACTTGCGCAAAGTCACTAAGAGGGCTTCATGGCCAAGTGGAGATTAAAATCTGGATTGGTTATAGTACCAGTCCAGCACTCTTAACCTCTTTGCCACACTGATTCTCCATATGAGTCCTTACCTACCCATGACCCAACCCTCCCCCCATCACCTGTAGCAAGGAGAATGCCCATTATAACTGCAGTGCCTATGGAACAATCTCCCAGAACTTGTACATCTTCCCACCACCTCTAGGACGTTTCAGACAGTTGATTTGTATGGGAAAGCATTTGGGTAGGCTGCTGCATAGACACAGCAGGGATTCTACTTTGTATTGTAATGCATTTTAAAGCTATATTACTAAAATTAGGTACTTTTGGACAATTTTAATCATACTTTTAATATCTGCAAGGGTTGAGGATGTTTTTAAATAAACTTTAAAAATACTTTAAAAAATACAGTTGTATTAAATTTGCTCCATTTATACCACTTCAAGCAAATGGAGATGTGTGGTATAAAGGTTCAACCATTACATCATATTCATTGCTAAGCACAGTAAATCAAGCTCCAAATCCAACTACCATATTTTTCCGTCTATAAGACACCCCCATGTATAGGACGCCCCCCACTTTTCTTACCGACCTCCAAGCGAGCAAGCGGCTGCCTCACGGCGATCGCACTAATCTCTCCCCCAGCGCACCTGCAATTGCACCTGTCTCCCCCCTTGAGCACGGCCACCACCGCCTTTCAACTGGCCCCCTGTTGAAAAAGTTTGAGAGCCCCTGGGCTACACACTCTCTGCAACATCAGCTGACGTCAGTTACATAAGGCTCATGATTGGAGGAAACCTGTTACCTAGTCTCTGCAATCGGAAGTTTCACTCATGAGGCTAGTTTGCAGAGATAAGGTATAGGCAGTTTTGCAACTGCGATTCTCCTCTCGGCCCTGTGTATAACAGGCCCCTCCATTTTTAGCTAAATATTTTTAAGAAAAAGTATTGTCTTATACACAGAAAAATATGGTATATTATCCTTTCACCCTTCCCACTCATTTAGAAAAATTGTTCTTGAGTAAAGCAGACAAAGAAACTTAAAGTTAGGCCCTGCTAGCAGCCTAAATTCTGAGAAAGATGCAGGGGAAAAAACATTACTTTACCTTATAAAAAATCATACTGCAGAATCATAATAAAAACATCTATTTATTTGGGTCCTCATTTTACACTAAAAGCAGACAAATGTATCACATAGAACTATGTTTAACCACAACTTGCACAATCATGTGGAGAAAATCATCATGCTAGTGGAGAAAAATACTAACCTTCCAAGCGTATCTTGATATATTCTAGGCAAAACTGAAAAAGAAAATTTATATTACTAAAGATATACAGTCTCCCATCAATCTTCCCCAGCCTGTATTTCCAAGCAAAAGTGTTAACTTGGGCAAGTTAAACATGCTGCCTTCTGACCCCCAGATGATTTTTTTGGGGGGGCGGGGGGCGGGGTCTTGAGATTAATTACTCACTTGTGAGATTTAGGCCTTTTTAAGATGTTCCCAGGACAACACAGAAAAGAACTGTGTGCTATATATACATTTTATAAATGTTTAAGAACAGATAGCATTTCAAATGCTCAAGAAAATTATTTTTGTTTAAACTAGTCTTTTACACTGGGATGGAATTTTATTGCTGCTATTCAATTCCAATGAACTAGATTCTTTTTTTTTTCCACTGAAAAGTTTCAGTGTTAATCCCTGAAAAGTAGGAAATTTGATCCTTAGACATATTTAAGTTTAATTATCTGTGCCATAGTTTGTGCATGTATCATAAGTTTGTTCAACACATTACAAGAAATGGTGGAATTATCTTAAACTGCATGATGTATATATCACAAAAAGAGTAACCATCCAATTTTTGAATTATGCATAATACAGACAATACATCTGCACAATTCTCTTACGAATAGTCCTTTTTTTTCAAGAAGAGAAGCTAAGGGCTTTGAAATTATTAGAAGCTTTATTCATGCTATTTTTCTTTTTAAAATTGTTATTGTATTTCAGTGATGCTAAGGAAGACCACATTTGATGAAAAGTATGCTTCTTTACCAGCTGCAGCTTACTGGGATTTTTTAAATCACAAGAATTGTGTAAAGCAGATAAGAATATTCATCATTCTACATTTTATTTGAAGATTCTGAAAAAAGTATATTTAATAAGAGTTTTATGAGAAACTACTGCAAGATCCTCCATTATATTCATTTCATTTCCATTTCCCAATTTGATGTCCTAACTGAACATTCAGTTAAACTTATCTCTCAGAACAAGGAACATTTCCACCCTAGTCCTCAGTGACTCTAACATTCATGTTGCTCACACCTACATGTGTTCTGATTCTCTTCCTAATCTCCTCCACTAGGCTTCACATTTGGACACACTACTTTTTTAATGGCATTACCTTTCTCTTGATCTTCAAGAATTGCTGTTTGAGGGCTTGCTAAGAGGGAATTCTCTGTATCCAGTATCACCTGTCTCTTTCAAATCCTGAAAACTCCATGCTTTGCACATACAAACATTTACCCTTCCATGACCTGCGCAATATCACAAGCATAGTGTTGTCGTCTGTTTTCATTACATCAATACCCAATTCCTGAAACTCCTCAAACCACACTTTCAGCTCTTTTCTACTTCAGCTCTCAACTTAGATGCCCTGTAATCCCATTTGTTAGTATAAAACAGGAAGTGGAAAAGCAGGAAAAATATTCTTTTACTTACAATTACAGGTTCCACCACCATTTTTCTCAGGGTTCCTATTCTTATACTTCGACAGTTTAGAATGACACTGTCAAAAGAGTTCTGGTATGGTAAAGAGACAACGGCATCCGTTGCAGCTTCCTGGGAGTGAACTTTGCGACGTTTTACTGGGGCATTGGATACAACATTGCCAAACTGCAAAATAGTTTAAATAAATAAATGTTTTGGTAAATTATAACTTGTGCCTTTAAAATGTCTGAGCTATCCTTCAGAATGTATTTAGGCATATTAATCATGATTTGTATTATGATCAAGCTTTTGATCAAGAGTGATCAATCAACCACCTACTCTTATTTATAAACTAATTCCGCATATTTTAGGTTAAGATACAATTAGTCTGGGAAACTCATAACTGAAGTGATAGTTGTGTTTCAGCTGGCATAAAGCAATGTTTAAGCATTGTTCCTGTTCACAAGCAATGTATATTACTGCCCGACACAACCACATTAAAGCCAGAAGTCTCTGCAAAAGTAGGAGTTTAAAACCATTATGTCTTAGTCACATACCAATAAGGCCAAGCGGTTGGAGGCCTATGCGAAAACGAGGGGCAATAGCCCCTCCATGTATGTTGTTGACTCTGGAAGCCTGTTTACATTTTTTTAAGAATTAGTTTCTGGTTTCCTGTGCCTTGACTCATTACTTCAAATGAAGCAACTAACTTATTTTTAGTATGTGCTGTGTCATACTCAACAAAAAATATTGGGAGTTACTGATTCACTTCACTGACAATTGATAAGAAAATCTGTTTTCATAATGAACAGCTAGATCTTCCATCTCAGCTGGAATAGCTAAGGATGACCTAGCAAGTGGATGATGAATGAGGCACGGCCATGGCTTAAAGTACATGCTTTGCATGCTGAAGGTTCCAGATCTAATCCCCATGAATGCAGATGAACCCATGGCCTAACTAAGTATATGGAATATGCTATGTTCTATATAGATCAAACAAATAGAAGTAGTGGAGCATCTGTGAACAGCACTGCAACCCCAGAATGTCCTATCAAAACAAAGAATATGTAACACACAAACTGACAACCTCTAAAAATGGACCATAAAATATATATTAGATGCTTTTACCAGGCGTACCATCAGAAATTGCATCATTTTAGTGTACAACACCACAGGCATAATCCAGTGAATAGTAAGTAAATCCTATTTATCCTACAGAAGAATTAAGCATGTGCTCAATTTGCTCCCATTGATCGTGCATTGTACTCCTTGTAAACATAATCAACAAAAATATGCAAATTTGGAAAACAGTAAGATTATAGATATATAATACAGCACATTCAATGCTTGCTTAGGGGCTACTCCAGAGTAGGGAGAAAATTAAGTGAAAATTAGATTGTTTCATCATTTCCTGGACAGGCTACATTGTATTTCCAATTATTTGATTGTTCTTCATTTTCCAATATTGCCACTGAGTGCTTATACAGTGCTTTAATACCATTTACTTTTTTAAATTTTTGATTTTAATTTGCCATGTTATCTAATATTTTGGATGGTCTGTTTACATGTTGGCTTTTTGGCACTGTATGTAGGTTTATACATCCTCTATTTAGTGAACTTGCTTATTCTTTGCATGTTCTATATGTAATATTTACATAAAACTCAAGAAGCTGGACACTTAAGAAGTTTAGTAACTTAATATATTTGAAGATTATTTTAAAGAAATGCTGCCATGACTATTAAAGTCTTTAGATTAACATACCGTGAAAGTTGTCCCCCTTGACAGCACTTAAGCAGTCTGCTCATGGTGCATTTTTGTCTTTGTTTATCCAACTCTTGCAGTGAAGCTCAAACTAAAAAACAAAAATCCCCACCATGAAATCCTTAAAATGAAGTGCTATTAATTGGGACAATTTTCAACTTTTTTTTAATTTTAAGGAATTATCATCCTTGCTGGGTGCCACTTTGCTTACTGACACCTGAGTCACACTTACCAGCAACAATGTTGGAGCCATTTTCCTATGACTGCTTTCCGTACTCCTCTGTTACTAAAGGAGCAGAAGAAACACCAAGACAGACCAACCACAAAGAAGACCCCTCCTCTTTTTCCACTCTCAGGGATCCAATTTCTGTTACTAATGTGGTTTCTCCCCTGCGAGCATGCTTCTCTGTCATGGTCCTGAAAATCTGAACCATCAGATCAGCAAGGAAAGCAAGCATAGGGAAATGACTCCCACACTGTGGAGGCAACCATTATTAAGGTTCCAGTCTAGATAATACTTTTGTTTATACTAAGTAATTCAATGGGAATTCATTGCTGTGTTTTAAAGCAGCCTCCCCATTCAATTTCCAACTGTATCAAACTTTTTTTTTTAAACTTCAAAGTTTCAAGAGCAGCTTGCCATGCAATCTGGGGGATGTAATGTTTTTCAATAGTTCTACTAACTACATGCTACTACCCAGAGTTTTCTAGATCCCATTCTAAAATTAATATCAAACTACAAAGGTGTTAAGACTATTAAATCAGCATAGGGTTGATTTCAGAGGACATTTCTCATACATTAGTCTTATTGAAATGATCATGTTGATTATAACTAGCTGAACTCCCCTTGATCTAAATAGGACTGATGCATAATTAACGCTCTGGATCCATCCCATAAACAAGTAGATACTGTAGTGCCATGTCTAGAATCAAGTTCAAGAGACTAAACTGCTTTCTATTAACATACTGCACAGCATGTTTTCACAAGCATACATGCACATTTATTTATAGAAACCATATGTATGCTTTACATACACATTTAAAACTTCATATAAAAGTGCTACCTGGTCTTTCATTCTTGCTTTTCTTGGTAATATAACTGCAGCCTCTGTGTCTGCTGTAATACTAGTTAGCCTTTGTTCTAGTTCACAAGTGTTTTCCTTCAAGGCTGCCTCCACCTTTCCTGTGGAAGGTGCAGGAGAAGAACAGGCTGAATCTGCTGGACGTGGAGATATGCTCTCCATTCGGTTAGTGCTGCCAATTTCATCCTCCTCATCATCATCACTGGACAAAACAACTGAAAGGGAAAAAAAGCATTTTCTCAAACTATTTATTTAAAGTTTAGTGCCTAGGCTATCAGGCCCAAAAAAACTACTGCAGTCCTTTTGGGTAAAAAAAAAAAACCCAAGGCTGTGATGCATATTTTAAAAAGGATAATTCCCTATACTATTCTGCTGTTTCCCAGCAAGCCCTTTAAAAATTTTTACATTTTTTGCAAGACAATATTTTTGTATCAAAGAAATCAACAGTTGTTTTTCCCCATATAAAAGCACTGAACTTGGCAAAATGTATGGTATTCCATTCTTATAAAAAGAAAGGGAAATGTTCTTTTTTCCTCATGCACAATTTCCAATAGTTAGAGCGTATGTATCTGTATTATGGTGCCTTGCGGACATATTCATCCCACTTTGACTTTTCCACATGTTGTTGTGTTACAAGCTGGAACTCAATGGATTTAACTGGTGTTACCACTTCATGTACAAAAGATACTCAACACTGTGAAGGTGCAAAATATTTTTATTGAGGCAAACAAATTAGGATATGTTGGTTGTATAAGTATCCATCCCCTCCTTGAGAAAGCACTCCACCAAAACTCAGTGCCCTAGTAAGACCAGTCAGAGAAAGAATTAAGAGGCCAACCGTAACTCTGACGAAGGGCAGGTTGCTTACCTGTAACTGTTGTTCTTTGAGTCACCATCTGTGCATTCACACATATGGGTGCTGTGCCTGCGTAACACCTAGATCCAGGAAGATCTTCTCAGCTCAATATTGTTTGGTGGGATTCTCCCCTCCCCAGTATAAATAGGCTGGGTTCCCACCCATTGTCTGTCCAGCTGGAGACCAACGGTTTGCCATCCAGTCCATACTGGATTCTCTGTTAAGGTGAAATAATCTGTTTTGATGTCACCAACACCGATGTGGGCCAGCAGGTGGGTTGTGTGAATGCAGAGATGACACTCGAAGAACAACAGTTACAGGTAAGCAACCTGCCCTCCTTCTTCGTGGTCTCTGTGCATCTCACATAGGGGTGACTATATGTAGAGGTGGGAGGGTGTTGTTACCAGAGAACTGTGGACAGAACAGCATGTCCAAAGGAACAGTCCCGTCTGGCTTTAATGTCGAGTTGGTAGTGGTGGAAGAATGTAGACAATGTCGACCAACAGTGGCTTTGCAGAATTCATCCAGGAACGTAGGGCCATTGAAGTGGAGACAGCTCTAGTGAAGTCTCCTGTCAGATTGTCTGATAGGTCTGTGTTGGCTAGTTGGTATGCTAGTTTGATCATTTCAACTGTCCATTTGGAAAGATGTTATGATCCTATCGGTTCACTCTTGTCATTGTCTGGACCAGTAGAAGGCAAGAGCTCTTTGTACATCCAAGGCGTATAGAGACCATTCAAATTGGAGTTGTAGGTGCTGGAAAAAAGCCCAGTAAAACAATGTCTTCGTTTAAATGGAATGTTGTGGCTAGCTTCAGTAGGAAAGAAAGATCTAGACGTAGAACAACTTTCTCTTTATGGAAATTTAGACATGGTAGATTCTGAGTGTGCAAAGTTCACTTGCTCTTCTTTGATGATGTGATGGCCACCAAAAATGATGTTTTCCACAAAAGAAGTCTGAGGTCCACAGATGTGAGTGGTTCAAAAGGTGGGTTGGTAAAAGCCTAGAGTACAACTGAGAGACTCAACATCAGGATGAAGGATTGGATTGGAGGGTTTAAATTTTGAAGTCCTTTCATCAAGCGTTGAGCCAGTGGATGGGAAAAAAGAGAGGATTCATCAATTCAGCCTCTGTAGTGTGAGATTGTGAACAAATATACTTTTAGCAAAGTTGGTTTTAGTCATTTTGATGTAGGCAATGGAGGAATTGTAGAATCTTATGAACTGGGATGGTAGATGCCTTGAATGCATGGTCCCTACCATAGTTTTTAATTTTCTCCATTTGGCCAAGTACAATTGTCTTGAATTTGGCCATAGCACTGCTTGTAGTATCAATTGCTATCTGTGGATCCAAGTAAGTCGTATCCAATGTTAGTGGATCAGCCAGGTGGTCAATTTCAGTGTCTGAAGGTTGCAGTGCAGAATTTTCCCATGTTCCCAAGAAACTTGGTCTGGAATCTCCAGTAAGTATACGTATGTCTGGTGCAATAGATGTAGGAGCATTGGGAACCAGTCCTGTTGGGATCACCATGGAGTTATCAGGATGCAAGATGTTTGATCCTGTCTTATTTTTGCCAATGTCTTTGTTATGAAGGGAAACAGTGGCTTCATTCTGCCTTGTTTATGTAGAACACAGTTGTCATGTTGTCCATGGCTACTTCTACATGTTTCCCAAATAGAAGTTTTTGGAATGACTGAACAGCCTTAAATACTGTCATGAATTCTAGGTAACTGATATGTCATCTGCGTTCCCATCCATGCCATGTTCCTTGAGCTTGTATGATGCATAGTGTGCTCCCCATCCAGTTAGGGATGCATCTGTTGTCAAGGTGACTGCCAGTTCCAACAGTAGGAATGGCATTCCCTGGTCCAGGTTGGACTCAATGGACCACCATGTGAATGTCTTCAAGATATATTGTGGAATCGTTCTGATGGGTCGCAATGGGGACAGTGAATTTTGTTGAACCATAGCTAAAATGGTCTCATCTGTAGTTTTGCATATTGCACCAGCAATACTGTTGACACCATGTGTCCAAAAGCCCACTGTATTGCTCGTATTGTAGTTGGGGCATGTCGTAAGTGTAGAACTGACATCATCAATTGTTGTAATTGGTCTGTGGGTAAGTAGGCTCGAGCAGATTGAGCTTCTAAACACTCTCTGATATAAGTAATTGTGAACGAAAAAGTTAGCATTTCTTGCTATTTTATGTATAGTCCAACTTGGTCTAGGAGATTACAAGTTATGGAGATTCATCTCAACAGTTCACCACTAGATGGGCCAACTAGTAGCCAATGATCTAAGTACGCATAAACCTGTACTCCTTGAAGCCTCAAATGTGCACAAACTGGTGCCATACATTTTGTGAATGCTCCTGGTGCTGTAGAAAGTTTGAATGGGAGCACCTTGAATTTGTACACATCATTGTCAATCTCAAATTGGAGAAAGTGCCTGTAGTTGGGATGGATGCTTATATGAAAATAAGCATCTTTTAAATATAGATGTGAACCACTCCCCTTTTTGTAATAATGGTAGCTTGAAGAGTGATCGTTCTAAACTTTTTGGTGTTTATGAAACAGTTTATTTCACATAGGACTAGAATGGGGCAGTGACCTCCATTTTGGTGGGGGGGGGGATGGTGGAGTACCTAGAGAAGAAACTGTGCTGTCTCTCCAATCAGTCTACTGGTTGAATTGCACCTTTCTTCAAGAGCATTTTGATCTCATCATCGAGATCACTGGTGAAGGTGATGTTCTACGAACTGTTCTGAGGGGAGGAAGGGTCTCAAACTCGATTTTATTTCCATGTTCTTTCTATGATGGATAGGACCCACCAATGGGAGGTGATGGATTCCCAAACTGGGAGATGTTTCAGTCAATCCCCAAAAGGGAATGGTGCAGTAAAATGAGGGCTAGATCGTGCTGCCTGTCAACATTGCTACTTGTCACTATCTAGCCTTTTCTTAGGCTGTTGAAATCAGGTAGTATTGGAATGGTGGCCTCAGTTTGGGGACAATTGAGGTTATTGCTGTGCCTGGTGAGGTAGGTATGTTGAGAAGATTGGAAGGGGCGGTACTGAGATGCATAGCTCCATGGCCACTTACATGGACCCTGCTGGGTCAGTTCCAGTCCCAGTCACCATGCCATGAGTCTTGCTTTGTGAATCATGTCAAGTCTTTCATCAGTTTTTGTACTGAATAGTCCGGTACCATCAAATGGCATATTTTCAATACATACCTGCATTTCTTGAGGCAAATTCATTGTCCGAAGCCAAGCATGTTGATGGAGTGCGGCTGCCCTGACAAGCCCTCTTGAATTGCAGTCAACATGATGTCTTGCTGTTGAGATTTGTTGACTGAAAAGTTGCATTGTTTCAGCAATGAACACTCTGGCCAACTCTCTGTTGAGGAGGAAGAAAAGTGGCCAAAGATTCCATTTTCTGCCATAAAAAGACCTGATAGAGTCCCATCATTGCCTTGTGGTTCAAAATGTGAAGGCCAAGTCCCATGGCAGAATAAATGTGGCAAGGCATTATGTCAATACAGCATCCTTCACAGTCTGTTGGGGCTGAGTTTTCTTTATGTTGTCAATCTTGTGTTGCTTCAACTACTACAGAGTTTGGCTGTGGGTGTTGTAGAAGGAATAGAATATCTTGTTCCCAGACTCCATACATGCTTTCAAGTCTGCAGGAGGTCCGTTGTGGCTGGTTCAACTCAATGCACTGGTATCAATGGGAGAGCTACCAGGACTGCATTCTCTGTGCAGGTAAAATAATAGAACCCTGTAGTGTTCCGGCTCAGTAGTTTGTTGAGCACCTATTCCCAATGATGTGGTCATATGAATGATTTGCTTGAAGAACCGTGCAAGACTCTTCAGGCAACCCAGGACCCTGAGCTGAAACCTTGTTCTCAGGTGAAGTTGAGATCCCTTAGGTATCTGGGCATAAATCCAAGTCTGATGCATAGCCCGTATCAGGTCAGTGAGGTATGCTGTGTGATTGGTGGCCTGGTAGTTGTGGAAGGAGACTTTTGGTCCTAGTGTTCTTGCAATTGCCATGGGCAAGCATGAGCTGGTAGCCATGGGTACTCATGTTGTGCAATGTAGGCCCACAGATATCTAGGTCCATAGTGTGGAAATAGTGGTGGCATCCAATATGGGTTTCTTCCATACTGACAGCTCTCCGGTTCATAGGCATGGATGGAACGTTGTGTTGAATTCAGTGAAGCGTTTACCAAGAGCAACCAATATGGGCACAGTGTTGGAGGTTGCTGTATCTGAGGATCCACACTTTTGGACTAGTCGTTTGTTCAATTAATGATTCCAGTCTTGGTGAATGGGCTGAGGAATTGCAAATCTTGCCCTCAGAGATTGAGGTGGGTAGAGCTATGTCTGGTTGGTGAGTGTCCGAGCAAACTGGTTTTCTCAGGCTCAACCATACCGATGGCACTCAGGTTGGAGTTTCTGTTGGTACCAATATGGTAAGTAGTTCCTGAGAAGGCTCATCAAACTGCTGAGTCAAATGGGAATGACGTTTCCACTTTTTCTCAGGTTTTTCTTTTTCTGAGTGTTTTTCCCGTCTTGATTCCTTTGATTCCTGATGTCTTTGATAGCCACTAAAGCTCTATCCCAAATTTCCTTCTTCAGGCAGTTTTCTCGGTTCTTTCTTGCTTCTTTTGTAAACACTTGATAGTGGGGGTACTTGTCAACATGATGCATTTCCCCTGGCATAACAAGCAGAATGAATGGCTGTCAAGGGCGTTTTCACTCCACAGTTAGCACACTTTCTAAAGGCAGGATGTTGCACCATCAAGGAATAAGAAAAAGAAAAGACAAAGTGAGGTAAGTTGAGAAGATTATAGAAGGGGTTTTTTTTTATTTTTTGTGAGAAAAGTTTAGTAAAGGGGGTGCTCAAAAGGGAGAGTTGTGAAGAGAAAATAGCTGTGAGGAAAAAAGCTGAGTCAAAAAAGGCTGTGAAAAAAATGAGGTTTTTCAAGAGAATAATGAAGGAATAACAAGAGCAACAGGAGACCCGAGAAACAGTGGATGGTGATTGAAAGAGAACTGACAATGGGTGGGGGGATCCTGCTTATTTATACTGGGGAGAGGGGGTGGGACTCCTACCAAAAACCATTGAACTGAATCTTCCCAAATCTGGGCACTGTGCAGGAGCAGCATGCATATGTGTGATGCACAGAGACCATGAAGAAGCAACTGGAAAGACCTGCATCTTAGATAGGAAAAGCCATTCATGGGAGGACTATCACCCCGACTCTTCACAAAGTTGAGCTTTATGAAAGATTGGTGAGAACAAAGCCATTGCTGAAACAAACCCATATCAAAGTCTGTTTCGAGTTTGCAAAAAGGCATGTGGGAGGCAGTGAGAACACATGGAAAAATATTTTCTCTGGTTTCGAATGAAACAGTAAAGCATGGCGGTGGCAGCTTCTTGTTGTGGGGGGGCGGTGTTCTTGGTAGGGACTGGGAAACTGCTCAGGATTGTTGGCAAGGGAGATGGAGCCAAATAGAGGTCAATTCTAGAGGAAAAGTTGTAGAATTGTCTGTAGGGAAATGGGACTGGGACAAGGGTTCAGCTTGCAGCAGGGCAGTGACCCTAAACACAAAGCCAAGGTAACTGTGGAATGATTTAAAACAAGAAAGCTATTGTTGTGGAATGGCCCAGTCAAACTTATCAACACAGTGACTAGACCTATGCTTAGCTTCAAAAAGATCACTCTATCATGGACATGCCTCAAGACAATCAAACAACATCATCATCATCATCATCATCATTATTATAACATTTCTATGCTGTCCCTTGCCGAAGCCTCGGGGCGGCTTACAAACACAATAAAATACAATAAAATACAAAAATAACAATATCAAATTAAAATTAACAATATAAAATAAATAATTTAGTCTCCTCAAAAGTGTCTTCTGAAGAGGAACATTTTGCAAATAGCTTATACCCATCTTAATTTTTTTCAAAAAAATTACTTACTTGGATCATTTAGTTCAGATGCTGTTGTACTCCTCTGCCTTATGTTTCCTGTAATTCTAGAAGCAACTTTTCCATTTGGCCGCAACATAGCAGGGCCTATACTACGCCTCACCATGACATCAGCTGAAACTGTACCAGAAGACCCGTAGAATTTTTTTGTATTTAGTCCTGTGCTTAAAGATTTTTGCCCTGTTGAATTATCATGTATTGATTCTCGTGTCAAAGATCCCAAAGTATCGTTTAATGCCAAGTTTTGCATTGACTGTCTTTGCAAGCCCCCAATATAAAAAGTTCCACAAATTTGGCATTTGTTCTGAGTTTCATTTCCTTTCCCAACACATGGGCAAACTGTGGAGGAATTATTCTGTTCCAGACCCTAGGATTGAGAAAAAGATAGGTAATCTGTTTATTTTTAAAAATGATAAAGATACACACAGTAAACCTATCTAATAAAAATCACACAGAATCTTTGGGAAAAAATGGATGGGAGCAAGAAAATATCAATTTGCAAAATTTCAAGATGAAAAAACCTGCCAGAAGAACCTGAGAACATAATTCAAATTAAAATCTATTCCCAATCTTTCCTTAAATCTATTCACATTATTTCCTACAGTCTTTACTTTTCATCCTTATCTATACTCTACCCTTGCCTCTAGTCTACACGGCCTTTACTTCTTACCCCTCAACAGAAAGTGTCACTCAAATGTTGTCATCTGACCCACACAACTTCAAGCATCTCAAGCTGTAGATATGTTGATAGAGACTTGTGCAAATTGGAACCTGGGTTGATTAGATTATTAATGTTGTATCCTTTTCCTACATGGTACATCATATGTACAAACATGCAAGTGAAAGAGCAGAAATGAAGCAAGGTCACCTTCTTACACCTCAGGGATCTGTACTAAAAACCCAAGTTGTTTTCCAAGTAAGTTTGCATGTATGCAGTAAATTAAATCCACTTATCTTTTTAAAAGTACACTGGTAATGATGTTGCAGTAACAAATCTGCAGCCATGTCATCCCAACTGTAAAATTATTCTACCCAAGACCTAAAAAATGCAATTTAACCTATTAACAATGTCCACTTCTGAGTTTAACAGAATTTAAAGGGAATGTTTATATATAACCCACCTCTAGGTGGGTTGCACCTTTTTTTGTAGCAGGAGATGAATATAAAGTGCAGTGACGTTTCAGTTGTACCTTCCTTGTAATTCCTGAATCTGACTCTGATCCAGACTCTTCTCTATTTTCCAACACACTTTCTGTAAGGGAAGAGGGAAATCATTACCAAATACTAAACTGTACTCAAGTAACAATGAAATCCATAATTTATTGAAATTTCCCACTAAGATGCTGAATATACCAACGCTAGTTCATTATACAACACAGTAGTACAAGATCTGGAACCTGGGAAGTTTCTTTGGAAAAGAGAAAAGGAAAAGCAAGCATACATGGACACACCTCTAAAGTAATCATAGGAAACAAAGCAACATCTATGTTAATTCTTTTGATAGATTGCAGAACCTATTTTCTTGTTGGACAATAGGATTACTTCCACTTCATACCACATAGCTAAGGCCTAGTAAAAAAATACCACCAAGTAAAAAAAAAATACAATTGATAAACCTAAGAATGCAGCAAAATCAAAATACAAAATAATTATTATTCATTCTTTAGAACAGAGTCAGCAACTAGTGTCCCTTTAGATGTTACAGGACTCCCATTCCCATCATCCCTTACCATTACCTATGCTGGATAGGAATGATGGGAGTTGAAATCCAACAATATCTGGAGGGACACAAACTGCCCATGCCTGCTTTACAACACTGCATACTACTTTTTTATATCAATTTCAAAATTTGTTCACAAACTGAGTAACATCAATCAAAGAATATTAAAAACAAAAAAGAAACTGCAAAAGGAGTAACTGCAACAAAATCCATGGAAGGCCCAGAAATAGTAGGAACATTTCAAAAGTCAACAAAAATCATACAAACAAGAAGGTTTTTCTCAATTTGTTACTGTTTTGATTCAAAGGGATATACATAAATTTACTATTCCATATGTAATATAAAATAAATCAACTTGAATGAAAATAAGTAGAAACTTACTTGTCTCTGGAAGCCGAGGCATTCTGCTGCATTCATTCTCAATCTTCAGAATATTAGGGGGATATTTTTTTCTGGGGAAAATTAATTTTAAGTTGTACTCAGCAGAAGTATATTTATATTTTAAATATGTCTAATAGAGAACAATCACATCCTTTTAAAATATTTTTATTTCACATTGCAGAATATTCATTTTAAAATACTGCTTTTAATATATATGAAAACACTGCAAACTATCTTATGTTCCCATTTACCAACACAAAACTCTCTAAAAAGATTCTGAATGAATACATATATGCTATTTCACTGATTAAAAAGTCTATTGTTTAGTTCCCCCAAACTAAAACAGAGTTAAACATTAAGTTATTACCACAAGGTAGGACACAATTTAAAAGCTGTTTTAAAATAATATATTCTACTTCTCAGCCTCAGGGAGAGTGCCTGCCATTATACAGACAACATGGCACCCACTCACATACAAAGGTGAGGTATCTGTGGACTTGGGAGAATCTTGATATTTGTAGAGGTTCCCAAAAAAAAAAAAAAAAAATCTTAAGAAAAAAGACCTAGCCAAGTGGAAAAACGCACTAATGCTCCAGAGAAGATACGCACTAATGCTCCAAAGGTGATATGTTCACAATGAGTCACGGTTTCTTCCCCAACAAAAGTACTATGTATTGCTAAAACAGCATCTTTTGTGAGGTGTGCACATTATTGCACACACTGTTTATATTACATATTGTTTATACTTGCACATATTATACTAAAGCATAAAATAATAGTTATAACTAATCATGTACATAAATTGAAGCAAGAAACTACAAAGTTTATTTCAATATTAACATGGTATGATCAAATGTTCATCCTTTGGGAGTGACAACAACAACTGACTATTTCTAACACACAAACTGCTCTGCTGTAATGGGCTTAAAAATAAAATTGTTTAACATAAAATTAAACAGTTAAAGAAATTTCCATTTTGTATTCTCTAAATCATATTCCATAGTTTTTCTTCCTCTAACATACATTCCTGTAGGAGTTATACAAGCATAGTAATAATGAAAAGTCTGTTTAACTCAATGGATTCTGATATTATTGTATCTACATCTGTTTAAAAACCCCCATGTTTTTACATGACGCAGTTCACTTAATGATTAACATCACAGTTTTGTACATTATCTCCCTAGTTACACTGAACAGAAATGCAAAGCAATTACTGGAAATTTAACATATAAGAAATAAGAAATATAAGAAACTACTACATAATTGCCATTACTTTGCAGCTTTCATTTCTTACTAAGAAATACTATTCTCAATGCAATAATGATTGTTAGTACAACTATCAAACAAAGCAAGAACAGAATGTACATACAGATTAAACTTTCTTACAGCAACATACTTCTTATATTAAGATTTTGAACCACCCAGTGAGTTTCGGCTATTGGGTGATACATTGCGGTTGAACAAAGTACCTTAATGAAGGGATGAGGAAACCCCAGCCAGCTGACTAGATAAGGCCTGCAGGAATTCCCTTCTACCTCTGGCCCAACACTTGGTTGGTTATGATCTATAAAGCCCTAAACGGCTTGGGACCTGGATAGCTAAAGGAACGCCTGCGCCCATATATGCCCTCCCGCCCCTTGAGATCAGCAATGGATGCCCTTCTCCGGGAACCCTCTGTGAATGATATTAGGAGGGTGAGTACCCGGAGGAGGGCTTTCTCTGCGGTGGCGCCCCATCTATGGAATGAGCTCCCCAGAGAGGTCCGCCTGGCGCCATCGTTATTTGTTTTTAGGCGCCAGGCGAAGACCTTTTTATTTAAAACTTATTTTATTTGCTAAATTATTGAATTAATTAGGATTTTAAAATTAGCCGAGAATGCACCGGGGGTTTTTTAATGTTTTTTTCCTTTTAAATTGTTATATTACTATTATTTATGTATGTTTTTATGTATTCTTTGTGAGCCACCCCGATGCTTTGTTGCAATGGGGGCGGCATAGAAATGTTTTAAATAAATAAATAATAATAAATAAACACTTACGCTACTAAAGGAAAAGTTTTCCTCTCTAGACAAGAGCTTTTTCCTGCAGGGCAAACAGGACAGGTTAAAGCTGTTTGATGATTCAGTTTGGCTTCCTTCCAAATCTCATCTTGAGTTTGTCATCTAAGTAGACAAACTGAACAGCCATGCAGTGGCCTGGGGTTTGAGATGCTATTAGAAAGTGCTGCAGTATTATTTTTCCTGCTTATCTCTGGGTAGACATGCTTCCTCTTATAAATTGGTAACAATGAAATTGGGGTGGTGTGTTTTTCAGCTTTACTCACTTTTACCACGATGCTTAGCTGTCACTAGAATGCCTTCCCCCTAAAGTACCACAAACTATCACAATTACTTTGAAAACAAAGTTAATTCAAGTTAATGTTAACTGACATCTTTTAGTGAAGAAGAGGATGGGTGGGAAAAAGGCAAAACTGGGGTACCATTATCAAAGGAAGGAGGAAGAACCGTTCTTAAAATTGGAGTTCTCCTGCCCACCTAGTTCAAATATGTCACTATGATGGGAAATGTGCAGCCCACCAGATGTAAGACTCAAACTCCCAACTTCTCTTTCCATTGGTTATGCTGGCTAGGTAGGGCTGAAGGGAGTTGCAGCCCACCAACATCTGGAGGCCAACACATTCCCCACAGTTGGTCTATGTAGCATAACAGGCTTTGTGCAAGAGCCTACTTTCATCAAACTTCACAAAGTTTCAATGAAGTAATTGCAAAAAAAAGTGTTTCTCCAGTGAATAGATGTCTAACTGCAGCCTTGCATACTTTATATTTTATCCTAATAAAACATTTTTATACAATTGTACCAAAATTTCTATCTCAGTAATTTAACAAAGCTTTTGCTTGCAGTTTTTGTATATTAAGTAATTCTCTGACATGCATTGTGTATAAAGCATATTGTGCAGCATGTTTTTAATTAGTATATGCTGTTATTTCTGATCACCAAATAAATTCATTCTAAAAAATGTCAACAGAGGTGAATAAATTTCCAAACGTAGTCGTAGTTGTTCAATTCTACTAATGAGGCACCTAAATGGTGACAATGCAAATGATAACAAGGCACTTTTCTAAAACAGCTACAAGTTATTAGGAAAAATGAATAACTCGAACATTTTATGTTCTAAACCCCATTCACAAAGTTCTAGAAAATGAATTTAGTCATTTGTACAATCTTAAAATGAACATGTTCTCCAGTATGACTTTTGCACTCACTGGGTTTCTGATGTCCTAACAATAAGTGAACATGAGATAATAAAATATTCCTTTCTGAAAAAATTAAGCAAAATTAGTATTTCTAATAAGCCTTGACATTCTTGTATCGCAGCATACAACTTCTTTCTAAATTGTGCCACTTAGTAATGCAACATTAATAAGTTTCTAAAATGTATCAACTTGTGTAACAAATAAAGACCCCAAGAATATGGAAATATTCATAATACTATCTCTTTTTACTCAGATTTTGGATTACAAAATGTGCTATTAATGCTTTCCAAATTATACTCCTTTTTTAAATTTGCTGCTAAAAAGGTAAGTATGAAAATTTTAAAATTACTTTTAAGGAAACAGAAGCCTCTTTTCTCCATTCTAACTTCTCTTCCAAATGCATGTGCTCAGAAAAAGCAAGTAAACTTCTGTTCTTCTCCAGTACACATTCATATATCCCTTTCCTTATAAAATGTAAAGTAGTAAATAGCAGAATATTGTATAGGCTGAATAACTTCAACTTACAAACCATCTAAAATTATATGAGGCTATCCAAATACAAGTTTCTTGTAGAGCAGATAAGGCTGAGCACTTGTAGACATGAGATTTCTATAGTAGGAAATGAACTCTACAAAACCAGAATTGTCACTGAAAAGGCCCATCTCCTGGTCTCATGGGATGACACGTTTCCCAAAAATAAGTGCTGGAGCAAACACTGCCCCACTGATCACTGTCACAGGACCAGATCATAAGGAAACCCTTTAAGAAGATAGGATCCAGGGAGTTTCAGACTGAAAAGACTGACAGTGCCTAAATGAACAATGAGTGCAAACTCCTCTGTTCCCCTCACTAATATTAACATCACTAATATGAACAAGTCTGCTGAGGGATAGAATAACTAGCCAGAACAAAGCAGGACAATACCATGTCCTGCATATATGGTTAGCTACCACTTCCAATCAAAGACATTTGTAGCTGTGTATTAGTCTTACAATTATAACTCTCCAAAGCCTGGATTGGATGTAGGCTTGAGGGTAGAACAGAAACATCTAAGACATACAAGGTTCTTTCCCCTTCCCTCGTCCAATGCCATACCTACTGCAACCAACTCAATGTTTGCCTTGGATAACATGCCCCTTCCTTTTGCTTCTATCTGTCCAGTCTCAATGGACACACATTTTTCATCCCCTTTACCCACTACAACCAAGCCAGAACAAGCAACCAAGCTCCTGCATGTCTGCATGTGTAACACTGTAACATGCCATTTAAACACAAGTTCACATGTAGCTCAACATGTTATATTCCAGCAGTTTTCATAGCAGAATAGCTTCTTCCGCAAAGCTAGCAGGCATACATTTGCAGTTTCCATAATATTCTTATTACCATGCTCATTAAACTTACCTTTCCTTTAGATCCAGATTGCTTAAAATATGAAAGAGAAAAATATAATAAGATGCAAAGCCCTTCAACATCAATAGATCTTTAAAAACCTGTATTTGGATACTTAAGATTCCAATATCTAAATCAAATGGGAATGCTATTTGCTGCAAGTAGCACTAAACATGCTTAACCTGATCATTTGAGTCATCACCACCACCAAAGAAAGCAGCTGATCAGTTAATAATCTCATCTCTCACTTGGCTGCAAAGCTCACTGGGTGATTTTTTTTTAAGGTAGTTGTGAGGGTAGCACAGACTGGAGGAGTATGTAAGCCACCTTGGGTTCCTTGCAGGAAAAAAAATGGGATATAAATATAATAAAAATTAATACAGGAAACCATAGGTTTTGGCTGGCAAAAAAAGTGGTCTGATCATTCCCCACTTTCCCTTAGAAAAGGCCAAGCAGGGACAGAGACCAAACCCTACAGGACTCTGTAATCTAAAGATATTCAATGTTCTTTTAGGCCATAGAGCCTGCATTTTGTCCTTTTGCTTACCCTTTCCTGATAGAAAGGGTAAGCAAAAGGAAGGACAGAACCTCCTATTTCTTGGGAGTGAGAAAGATGGCTGCTTTAGGCACACATTCTCCAGGACTGATGACTGGTCTCCAGAAGAATCAGAAAAGGAATGAGAAGAGGGTATGGGGGTGATGTTGGGAATATGGTCCATTCTGAGACAGAGAAGTGGAGATACTTATTTTCAAGGTCAGACTCCCCAAGTGGGCAGGCAGTCTCTGAAAACAACGAAGATGTACAGATGGCAGGACTTGGAGTAGGGGAGTTTCTCGGTCACAGGCCAGCTGGCCCCAGATCTAGATCCCATGAAGGAATGTCAGAGGAGGACACCCAATTAGAGGATCGGCGGCAGCAAGGATGTGTGCTCGTTTTCAGAAGGCCCCTTCCAATGGGATGGGGCCCAGACATACTCATAAGAAAAGTTTCTAAGATGAATACTAGATTGAATGCAACAAACCATTCCGGGCATGCTCAAAGTCTCATTCTGGGTATTTTGTGCTTCTGGTCAGCAAAGAATGCTTTGCAAGGAAAACATCTGTGGCTCTGAATGTGCGAGGGAGTAACCTCAGCACCAGACAGTATTTGCCTTTCTTTGGCTGATGTTAGCTTGGCTCTACATTTGGCCACATACTGAAGACAAACAATCCTGAGACTTCCTCTTAATTTTGGAATGGGTTAGGAGAAGGAATGACTGCAAAATTTCCAGTTCCAAGTTGGGCATAAGGATACTTTCTCATTACACTTGGCAGTAGGCGACATCACACACTTTGCCATGAAAGGCTAGAAGGGGAACTTAATTCAGCCCAACAAGGTATGTGCGCATATGTGGCCCCTAACCCACAGGTTAGTATCACATGAAGACCTTGGGGCCAAACGCATTTTGCAGTCCTGACTGAAACCATGATCCGTTTAATTCAGGTTTTTCATATACCTCTTGCATTATTTAAACAAAAGTGAATGCTACTTGCTCATGATCTACTTCAGACGCTTTTTGCTATCTAGGAGAGTAATAACATTTGGTCATGCAGTCCGCATTCCTTGTGTATTGTAATATTCTTTACATACAAAGATGAAGGAAAACAGTTAAATTATCATACCGAAAGCACACTTGAGTGAGTCCTCAGAGTAAACAGTCTAAAATCCCAGGACATTCCAGAAGCAAGGCAGTGCCATGCTTGTATGTGTGTACTCACATATACTACTTGCTCTATTTACTAAACTTAGAACCTTTTTCGCTTGGCTGACAATATTCTTCTATCCAGGCACCAAGAGAAATTTGTTTAAGGATTTCTGGAGATGATCCAGAAGCAGTGGGGAAATTGGAGAAGAATTCAGGATGGCACAGTACCAGAGGGGTGGATAAAGACTTGTAAGGGCCTGAAGGTTGTGCCCTCCTGATCTAAATAAACTTTTTCAATTGCTTTCATTAAAATATATCCTCCATACTAGTAAACCACCAATATTAACTTACAAGAACCTGTTAAAGTATCTTCCAGTTGTGATTCCCAAAAGATAGAGATTCTTTACAAATAATGATTCTATTACTGAATCTCTATCCTCCACACCAATATGGTAATAATTACTTCACAACAATACATTCAAAAACATTTCAGTAATGAAATACAGAACTCAGAATTATTTTCCTGGTTAAAGTCCAAAACTCTAAGTCAGAGCTCACTCCACAAAGCAAGATGCATACACTATATTAAAGCCTCAAATTCACACATGCACTAGAAAGCCTTCAAAATCAACTAGACTTCAACTAGCAAATTTGATCAGGACTTTTGATCCTGATCTTGCCATAGTTGGTAAGATCAAGAAACTCCAAATAATACAAGAACCATGGCAAGGCAAGTAGGAATCAAAAACCACCACAAACCCAGTAATAAGGCTTGGTACTCAGAGGGCCTTCAGTGCTTTTTGTTCCCAGGAAAATGCCAAATACAAGTTTTCCATGACTGCTTCAGGAGTCCAAATTCTGTAGGGTACAGAAGACTAAGTGTCTGAACAATGGATGCATCCATGCACTAGTTGATACATGGATTGTGGAAGGGCACAAGGGGAAAGAAGACAATAGAAGATGAAAGAATAAACAGAATCCAGGTTCGTTGGAATGTAATAAATGGTCTGTTTCTTCAGTTTTTGGAGGTCTTCATATTGCCCAAGCTACCTTTGTAATAAAAACAGGAAAATGACCATTGTCGTCTCACAACCAAAACTCTTGGGACCTTGGGAAAGTTTAACCTTCCAGAAACCAAAATGTACTTCCCATGTTAAAACTGTTATCTTGACTTCAATCCTAACTTTGCGATTACCTCTCTAATAGATGACAAAAGTATTTTAAAAATTCCAACAAATTACCTATAGTTTTAATTCAGTTCAATGTTGAAAAATAAGAAGCCATCTTGTTCTTCCTTGAGGTATTCAAAACATATTTTCCTTTTATTATACCTAACTGAATCCTTCACTGCCATCAGGTTAGTTTGACATCACTATTATCCTTCTTTCACATTTAATTCTATATAAATATCTTTTAAGATTAAACCACTACATATCACTTATTTAGTTTAAAACACCTTATTGAAGCTACTTTTCTATAATAACAAAAAGCCAAAGAATGAACAAAATATCCCAGCTCCTGTCAGTCTGTAGGCATTGCCTATAATCCAAAGCCTCTCTTTGGAAGATAATCAAAATGCGCTTTCTGCCATGAAGGGGTATGTCTATCTCAGTCTAATTCATGCTCTATGATATCACTCTCTTCTTCTCAAGTTACGACCTCTCACTAGCAAGTCTGTAGTATCTTTTGATAGATCTTTTTTCCCCTCCAAGAGCCCTACAAGAACTCCAGAAACCTATTAAATCCCCTTCACAGTTTTAGATATAGAGGGGAATATATACTCATTTTTAAAGGCAACTTACTCCTAACAGTTATTGTTTACCAAAACACTGGAAACGCCAAGTATTTTAAAAGGATGTAAGAACGCATAATATATAAACCAGTATACAACATTTATGATAAAAAATAGAAGCTCAATAGGAATGAAAATCAGTAGAATATGAAATGGTACAAAATTCTGCCAAACAGAACTTCCAGAAAATAGAGACAGTGATTAAGAGAATTGCACTATTCCTTTACAGCTCACCTTTGTGCTGCTGTCTTTACTACAGGTGTTTGTACATGAGCGTGGTGACAACGTCTAGCCTGCGCTAATGTTCCAGAACAAGATATACTGTGAACATTTTCACTGCAAACATAAAAAGGAAAAGTATTAGAATTTGTACCATACCTGAAATATGGCTCTGTTCAGAGAAACTCTTCCTTTACGTCTTTCTCTTTGTGGCAGCTAAGTAAGAGCTTATACAACACTACCTAATCAAAACCACTTCTGAAATCTTTGGTTAGCTAGCAGCAGCACTTTAAACACTGCCACCCAACAGCAGAAATATGGGGAGCCCTTCACAGCTACTAGGGGTGCTTCTGCATCTCCGCAGTACATAATTTCCCACACATGTATCACCTGAGTTGGAAGAATTTCACAGTAACTTCTGCCTATAAATCTATAGTTAGCATTCAAAGTGGCACAGAGTCATTCCCATATATCATTAGAAGTAATCTGTTTTCAACTATCTAGTTGATTAGGTTCTGCAGCCAAATGAAGTGAGATGGGCAACTTCTGAGATGAGGGCCTTTTCACTGGTAGCACTCTGGTTGTGGAAAACCACCTTCAGAGAGACTTGCTGGATGCCTGTGTTGTGCTCTATTCCATACCAGGTGAAGAGCCTTTTTTATCTTTCAGTTTAAAACAAAAGTATTAGTATATTTTAAATTTTAAAGACATTATTGCTATCTTTTACTTTGCACTTTTACTTTATTTTGTTTTAAACATTTGATGTTTTATCTTCATTTTTACTATGCTATTGTATTTCATAGTTTCAAGTCTTTTTGTGAACACACACAAAGGTTCAGTTGTTTGAATACTTAAAAATAAGTACTTTTAAAGCAATGATTTTAAGTGCTTTTTATAAATTCAATCCCTTTTATATGATTATCATGATCAGTTGGCTAAAAATTAATAAGCAACCAACCTTGCCTCAGATTTCTAATATATTGGGATTTTTTCCCCTAAAGCTATGATGTAACTAACTTGCAACATCCAGCCAAATAACCATAAAGTAATTTGAATTTTAATGAACCAAAACTTCTCAGAACATATCAGGAACATGCAAATATAACTACCTTAATGTTGTTAAAATAAACATTCTCACAATGAAGTATTTTTCCATGAAGAGACCAGTGATTAAATGTTTGGAATTCGTTTGGAAGCACTATACCTAAATTGCTTGCTGCTTCCCAACATGTTCAGTCCAATAGGGTTTCCTTTTGAAATTCTAGAAGCATCAGATTTGTTTCGTCTAGTGTATATTCTCATAGAATCATCTGTGGCACCAATAGTTCCTGAGCGATAACGTTGTAACTGAAATGAAACAATTAGCAAAAGCTTAAATTCACAAGGCAGTTATCAAATGCAATACAGAATTCTACTTAACACTTCTACTAAGTTTCAAACATTAAAATATTCTCAATGATTCTTTAAAGTACTGTGCTGTTCCATCTGTCGCTAAATGAATGGCACTGGCATAAAAGTTTGAGAATCATCACCTTCTGACTGAAATATAACCAGAAAAAATTTGCAATATGAATTCCATCCTTGGTCTTTTACCATTTTGATGGAATGTACCAAGAAAGTACATGTGAATAGTCTTGACTCACACAGGCTGCCCATTAGAAAACCTCAGACTTGGAAAAAGTACAGAAAAATAATACAATAATTATTCCACATAAAAATAGTTACTGGAAAGAGGGCAAAAAGGGGATATTAGAAATGCTGAAGTGTCATAGAACCACAAGACCATGTGCAAAAAAGGGGTAAAGGAGATTAGATTTCCACACACTGAAACCTAAACCACAATTTTTAGCAATTCAAACATCACACACAACATTATGATCTTTTTATGACAATTACATACACATAGCAAGCATTTTCGAATCTCATAAATTTTCTAAGTCTAAGGCTGTTACCCAAAAGACTTACTAGAGAGTAAGCATCACTGAACAGAGTAGAACTTACTTCCAAGTAAACACAGATTTGCACTATAAATTATATAACGGGATGGACAACATAGTGTACTTGCTGTACACTGCTGTCCCCAAAATTGTACAATTAAAAGAAAACGGTATCAGGAGCAACCATTTTAACTATTGTAATAGTCCATAGGAACTACAGAGTACTAAAGGTCAAGAAGGGTTAACATGGCTGTTTAGGACACCATTTTTATTTTATAAAATATATACCATCAATTCATTACAAGATCTCAAGATGGTTTAAATGCCGTTTTCAAATTTGTGAACAAGTTAATTTTTACTTTCCATAGTCATTCTATATGCTATTTAAAATGTTATTTTATTGTTTTTAATTTTTTTGGCAGACAGTGAAGGGAGTTCAAGGGAGATGGCTTCCTGACCACCTAAAGTTGCCCAACCTGTTATATATGGTTAAATCAAACATCATAGTAGTAGAGGTCTGCTAGCACAACAGGACTTTCTTCCTCTCACCTCCCTAGTGTAGCCCTGTGTATGACCTGAAAATATGCTGAGGTCTTAACTCCATGGTCAGCAATGATATTGTGCTTTCTTACAACTAATGGTCAATACACTCAGACTTTTCTTTGGTCTTTCAGGCCCAAATCCAAATAGGGAGGACACAGTGCCTTGGAACAGCAAAACTGGCCCACTGGTCCTATATTTTCTTATGAGGCATTTGCACCTTACTATATTGCTAGAGGAATCCTGCCATTTATTGAACCATGTCTGTTTTGTTGCTTGGAAACAAGCACAACTGTAAACAAGAGCCCAATTCCCCAGCTAACCAGCTCAAAATGTATCTTCTAAAAATGAAACAACAGTTATCAAATGAGCTACCTGCTGCTCTCCAGATGTTTTGAATGACAACTCCCATCAACCCAATCCAGTGTCAACTGTTGGGTACAGTGGAAGTTCTAGTCCAAAATACCCAGAGGGCACAAATTGGGAATGATTGGCTGTAGTCTTAAAGTGTGAGAAGATAGTGAATTGATTTCTTAGTACTTCCTATTCAGCAATAAAACTATTTGTCATAATTATAAAAACAAACAAACACAGGAGGCTAAAGGTTCAAAATTCCAAGTCTTTTGTTTTCAGCACTCCAAGGGCAAAGAAACATACAGTGGGGACCCCATATCTGCTGGCTCAGTTACCACATTTTCAGTTAACTCTGGCTGACCTTGTCTCAAAAGAAGAGTCACAAAGTGTTTCCTGTAAGCAAAAATTCTTTATTTAATAGGGAATTAAAAATAATATGCTGTGGTAAGAACAAACAAAATTGTGAAAAAAGAAACGTAAATAGTATATATAATACAGCGTTCACTGTTATCCACGTTTTCAGGCATCCACTGGGGGCTTGGAACTGATCTGCATGGATATGGGAGTCCTCCTGTATTTAGAATACAGAAAACTACCAGAAGACTTCTTTAAAGCTAGCCCAAAAGGTTAGAATTTGCAAAAGAGATCACACAATCACACACAATATTAGCTATTTTATCTAACATAATATATGCATTTTATATAAATTATAGTAAATAAAGTCTCACTTTCTTTTCACCATTAGGACTACAGGTTCCATCACTCTCATCTACACTCAGCAGACTGGCTTCACTGAATAGATAAAGAACAGAAGAAAAAAAAAGTACAATCAAGCAATAGCAAAATAGGGTTTCACACATTTTATCAAGTTCACAGAAGATTTCACAAACCATCTTATAGTTTACACTATTCTCAAGAGCATTATGTTACCAGTTCACCTCAAAATAAAGTATCTATAAAATGTTCTTAAATAATCATGGATCAGTAACATTTTTATGAAATTACTGAGAATATGCAAAATACTTTTTAAGACATGCATGCTTCATAAGCTCTCTTCTGCATGCACATTAGGTATTCTAGGACAAAGAAATTATAGCTCACAAACATAAGACATAATGATACACAAGCCTGAAATTTTGTCAGCAGAACACTGTTTGGCCAGTGCATTAAAAGCCTCTACAATTCAGCATACTCAGTGGAAACATTTTCTAGAGCAGGGCTGAGCAAGTTGTGGCTGTTCAGGTACTTTAACTTTAAACTCCTATCTGACCTATACCGTACAGTCAATATTGAGGGAATGATAGAAGTTGCAGTCCACAACTTCTGCAGGACCACAAGATGTCTACCTTTGTTCTAGAATCAAGATCAGGAGTGTTGAATCTCTAAGCCCATAGGCTAAATATTACAGTTCCATACAAGGTTCCACCCCAATCATTGAATTTTTGGTGGCTTCCTAGCTTCTGAATGGATTTTTCCACATTCCAAAACATCGAGATGCCTCTCCTAAGGCCAGTAAGAGCTCCTGCCCACCTACTGCAGTCCCAAGAGAATGAAAGAGGTCAGAAACCTGTTCTAAATATTACCTATAAAGTGAACGGGGTACACAAGTCTTTTGCCCCACACTTGCCATTTTCTAACATATATGTTCAATATGTTAAGACTTAGCATTTCTCTGTGGTACCATTTGGACATGGCAATCAAAATGCTTATCTATCCTTTTGAATAAAAATGGCAAAATTAACATAAAAATGACTAGTTCCCCTCTCAACAAGGCTTTACCATTTCATATATATCTTTTTATTTTACAGATGGCACAATGAGATAAAAATAGGTTTGAAAAAGATACAATTGCTACTAGACTACGATATTTTGTCTGTCTCCTCAAGGAGTACTTAGCTCAAACAATTTTCACTTTTGCTTTGTATGGAAAGGTAAGATAAACTAGGGCTTGGTTGCATAGGCTGTGCGAAAGGACGGCATACAAATATTCTAAATAAATCAAAAAATTAAAATAAAATAAAATAGGGAAACTCTCTGTTGGTGTGGCCATGGAAGTGATGCCCACCCACTTTTCAGCTGGCAAGGGACTTTAGGAGATCACAAATCCTTAGCCTCCTTCTGATTCTAACCTAATAAACCACATGAGGCTCTCTGCCACTACAAAGCCTTCTTTGGGAAACTTCTATAGTGGGTTTTTTTTGTTTTTGTTTTTTTTCCAGGAAACCCTCCCCCATCTAATTCACATAGCTTTGTCAAGCTTCTGCCTGTTCTGTCAAAGGAAAGGGCATCTCCCTTAACAAATGATAACATAGAATTCATGGAATACTAGAGTTGGAAGGTGTCAGAGGGCCATAGGTTCCAACCCCTTGCTCAGTGCAGGACTCCAATTTAAACTGTCCTTCTCAGATGGCTCTTCAGTTGCATCCTGAATGCCCCTAGTGAGAGCGTGCCCACAACCTCTCTAGGTGATTGTTTCCATTGTTTTGCTGCTCTAACAGCCAGGAAACTTTTCCTCCTACCTAGCCTGGCTTCCTGGAACTTGAGCTCATTATTTCATGCCTGCACTCTGGAATGATGGAGAAGAGATTCTGTCCTTGTTTGTAATAGCCTTTCAAGTACTTTTAGAGGACCATCATATCTCCCCTCAGTCTTCACATCTAAAATTAAACATGCTCAGTTCTTTCAATCCCTCTCCATAGAGCTTTGTTTCCAGACCCCTGATTCAACCTTGTTGCCTTCCTCTGAACCTTTTCCAACTTGTCTGCATCTTTAAAACTGTGGTGCCCAGAATAGGGTGCAGTACTGCAGATGAGGCCTAACCAGTGCTGAATAAAGGGAAACTAGTACTTCCTGTGATTTGGGATGATACTTCTATAAATGCTGCCTAAATTAGCATTTGCCCTTTTTGCAGCCATATCATATTGTTGCCGCATTCAGTTTGTGATCTACAACAATCCCAAGATCTCTAACAATCCCAATTTCTCATTTGCAATATTGTTAAGCCGAGTATTCCCCATCTTGTAACAATGCATTTGGGTTCTTTTTCCTGGATGCAGAACTTGGCATTTGTCCTTATTGAATTTCATTGTTTTCATTTCAGTGCTCCAACCTATTAAGATCACCTTGAATCTTCTTTCTGTCTTTCTTTCCAGAGTATTTAACTAACTCACACACTTTTCTGTCATCTGCAAAGTTGATAAGTATACCATGAACTTCTTCATCCAAATCATTAATAAATGTGTTGAAGAACACTGGGTCAAAAACTGAACCCTGCAGCACCCCACTTGTAACCTCTCCTCAGTTTTGAGAAGGTGCCATTGAGAAGTACTGAGTCTGATTCTATAGCCAGCTTCAGATCCCCCAATAGTTCTTTCATCTAACTCGCTTTTGGTTAGTTTGCTAATCAGGATATCATGGGACACATTGTCAAAAGCTTTGCCAAAGTCAAGATAAGGGAATGCAGGGAACAGAGTCAGTTCATCAGGGAGGTTATACAATCAAAAAATGAAATCAGATCAGTCTGGCAGGATTTAATCTTGAGAAGTCCATGTTGGACTTCTTTCAAGGTGTTTGCAGACTGAATGCTTTGTAATCTGCTCCAGAATTTTCCCAGGTATTGATGTCATACTGACTGGTCAGTAGTTCCCAGATTCTTTCTTCCTTTCTTGAAGATAAGAGCAACAGTTGCCTGTATCCAGTCATCTGGCACTTCCCTTGCCTTCCATGATTTCTCAAAGATAATAGGGAGAGGTTCTGAGAGTTCCTCTGCCAGCTCTTTTATGAATCTAGAATAAAGTTCATGGCCCCTGCAGATTTGAACTCATTCAATCCAATTAGATGATTTTTAACCATTTGCCTATCAATCTTGAGCTGCCATCCTGCTCCATCAGCTTGATATTCTTTTGGGAGAAGACTGAGTCCAAGTAGGAATTGAGCACTTCTGCCTTTTCTTTATCATCTGTTACCATTTTGCCATCCACATTGAGAAGTTGAACCCCCATTATTTTTTCTTTTACTCTGGACATACCTGAAGAAGACTTTTTGTTGCTTTTAGCATCCCTCACTAGCCTCAGTTTTTCCCTAGGGTTGGCCTTCCTGATGCCATCCCTGCAATTCTGTGCTACCTGCCTCTATCCTTCCTTTGTAGTCTGTCCTTCCTTCCACTTCCTATACATGTTCATTTTTTTCAGATCATCTCTAAGCTGTTTTGTGAAGCTACATGAGCTGCTTCTGGTTTCTTCTACCCCCTTTTCCTTGCTAGAATTGCTTGTGATGGTGCCTTTAAAATTTCCTTTTTAAAAAATCCCCACCCATCTTGGACTCCTCTTCTCATTACAGTCACTTGCCATGGGACTTTACTTATCATTGTTCAGAGTTTTTTAAACTTGGCTTTCCTAAGTCCAGGGTACGTCTTTGGCTACATTTGGCTGTTGCTTCCTTTAGAATCAAGAATTCATGTATGGCTTGGTCACTTCCCCCAGAGTTCTTGTAGCTGCCACTTTGTCCACTAGGTCCCTGCTACTTTGCCCATTTTGTCTGTTGGCTATTATCAAGTCATGGATAGCTGTTCCTCTTGTTCCTTCCTCCACTTTCTTTCCACTACAATATGAAAATAGGCATAATTCAAACCCATTGCTACAGTTCCTGGGATAGCTGTTAACTGTTGTCATACAGACACTTTTGGGTGTTATAAAGAGGTTAATATCACAATGATCTAAAATCAGCTGAAGTCCCCCAATTCTCCTTTGGCACTGTTAAGTTTCAAGAGTAGAATCCATCCTCTAACCATGACAGCGTTCTAGGCTGAACAGCTCCTTTTGCTAAGAAGGAATCAATGCAACTCTAGCAAAGGCAGCTTGACCCTAAGGCTGCCCAAAGAGGGAGGATGCTAAACTCGATCTGCTAACCATCCTAAACATACTATGAAACCAAGAATCACGTGTGACAGTAATTGATATGAGGAAGAAAAATGACAGGTGAGTTCCAAAAAGAGGGGGGAAAAGAAAAAAAAACTGAGGAAGAATGTTAAAAACGGCATTTAACAGGAAGGTCCACTTTCCTGTCATTGGCACAATATCTGTTCAAGATGATTTTTTCAGAACAGCCCATGCTTACTGGCTTCATCACTTTGGAATTGATGCTGATGAGTAGTGGGCTGTTGTGACCATCTTCTCTGCTTATACTGAGGCTAACTGCCCAAGGCCTATCTTTTGAGCTGCCCTATTTGTTTTGGCAAATAATCCATGGTCTCATTTGTTCTGGCATTAAACAGACCATCCCTGTCAATAGTCTTCTGTATGGGACCTGGCTGGGTCAAACCTGCAGATCTTAACTAGACATGCTTTCTGAGTGCCATCATGCCATGCCCACCATGTCTCTGGCATCACAACTGACTTGCTGTCTCATAATATTAATTTGTTGTCAGGAGCAACATACGAGAAAATGTCATGACCAGAAAATGCAAACCACATCTCTCTGATCTTCAGTTGCAGAGACAACTTTCTTCCAGAAGTTGATGCCATGACATTGCTGCCTGAAATTTGCCACACACAGGCCCAATGAAGCTATTGAATAGAGATGTCTTTTGTCTATGGATGAAAAATGTATCCTGAATTACTTTGATTGCAAATACTCTGCAATGATGGAGTTCAATCAAAGTTAAGTTAAAAGGAAGAGGCATCCTTTTCTTGTACAAGGTACCTATATTCTAGCTGCTTAGAAGTTGTCACAGAGAAAGTCAATTTCCAAGATCGTTGCACCATACGCAGAAGAGCAAGAAGGAAAGGAAAATAACTAGTGCTAATGCCTTCATGGATACATTATGAAGCACTGGGCCTTGTGACCCACAACGTTGGCGGCTGTGTTTCAAATGAACCAAACAAAGGATTCGGTCAGAAAAGGCTAAAATCTTCTGTCAGAGAGGCAGGTTGCATGCCAACTGCTACATCCAGAGAAGAAACAGAAAGTGTCATGGAAGAACAAGAGATGGAATCAGATGCACAAACTTCTACATCCAGTGGTCATGATTCCAGCACATAATAGTGGTGGATGTCAACAGTGTAGGTAATAGATCACAGTTCAGTGGAGTGCTGACAGGCACATGTTATCATGCATGGGGGGTAATGCTTAAGATGAACAGCATGGAGCCAGCATGATCAGTGCTCTAGAAGGTGGTAGGGTTTAGAATATAGCCTCCAGAAGTGGGCCCAAGAGCATCATTGAAGGATGCAGTTGTTGGTACCAAGATAAAGATAACAAGGGGATATCTTGAGTGATTACAGTAACTCTGCTACTAATCATCTCAAGAAGAGGTGTAATGGAGGGAAGAAAATAGTCAGATCATCCATCCTAGTCAGAGTGATAACAAAAAGGGATACCAATGATATAACTGTCTGTGCTTACCTCCCCTGTGATCTAAGCATCAAACATTTGATACATCTGGAGACTGTTCTCAGCACTACACCATACTGGTGATTGCTGACATACTGCTCCTGAGGAGGGATTTAGTCTCAAATTTTACTTTCTGATGGCAAAGTCAATTAACCTAGCTGAGGAGTTAGCACAGATTACAATACCATTGTTACCAGAGAATCCAGGAGAGGAGGTATGAAAAGTGAATGCAATGGGGTGCTGAATGTAGAACTATACTGCCCAAAGAGCTTTGACTGTGAGGCAGTATAGAAATGAAATTAATAATAGTAATAGTAATAGCAAAAGCAGCAGCAGCCTTAGATTCCTTTGTCATCTTTTGGGAATCAGAACTCTTAGGAGTCCACACTTTTTTGACAACTTTTTGGACAGTCAAGAGTATCAGTAAACTCTGGCATCAGAAGCATTGTGCCATTTGTTAGAGGAAATGCACTCCTCCATCACACCATTTATGGAAAAGTTCCTTTAAGGCCATATGGACCGAAGATGCCTATGGAGGAAAACAATCAAAGATCAGAAGAAAAGAAAAAAACAAAGAAAAAACATTTAAAAATTAACAGGAAGAACAATATTAATAGAAAATATTGAATAAACCTGAGCAGTTGGATAGAAAGAAAAACACTTTTGTAAAGGAAAAGAAGCATCCCCAAAGCAACCACAACACCTACTGAAGCAGAACCAAGGCAGCAGAGTTCCTCACACAGGAGCAGAGCCCCATAGGGGTGATGCACAGAAACCATGAAGAACTAAATATGTTCAAGGCTACTTCCATATTCACTTTGAGTCTACTCCCAAAACTACACTCTTTAAGGTCCATAATGCAATATTCAGTATAGCACAATAAGCTGCAGTGAGTGAGGTATGCAGATTGTTCCTAATTTATAAATCATTTCTATTCTACCCAACACACACACACTTATTTCCTTTTCATTCAACCAATTCTATTTTCTCTCCTCTCCCCACCCCGCCATCTCGATCTGTCCTTATTTCATATGAGATATACAGCATGTATCATTACATGTACCAAAGTTAGAATGCCACTGTGAACATTGATCTGCACACAAAGGTGCTGAATTTCAAAGGCATACATGTCTTTCTGTTCATAGATTCTCACCTTTTAAGAAAAAATGCAGAACAAAAAATAGACTATTCTGAGCTTCTTCACAATGCAGAATCACTCTATTTTTTTAGGCTCACTTGTCACTGAGATAGTAACAAGGCTAAAAGTTCATTTTAAAATGCTCTTCTGATCAAATCCAATTAGCTAATTGTTTATGATAAATATTTAAGTTATCAGTAGTTGCTCATTATTTTCAATAAACATCTAGGTTATCAGTAGCTGTTCCTTAATTCTTTTCTATCAGAGGAAATACAGAAATAATACAGGACACAGAATGTCAGTAAAACACTAATACTACAACTCCTATCATCCCTGATCAATGACTACACTGAGTCCAGCATATGGATGATCACAAGTTGTCCATCACTGACATAGACAGGAGTTAAAAAGCCCCACAATATTTAGAGTTGCATAACAGCAATCTATAAACTTCATTCTTTAGCCTATGCTTCTTCCAAAGTCTAATAATTCCAACTCATCAACTGTTTAAGGCATTTATAAAATCCCTGGCTTAACTGTTTTAAGCCCAAACTAAGAATGGATTCATTTCTAATAGGAGTGATAGTTACCCTAATATTTGTTTATGTATAGCATATTGCAAAATTAACAAACCTGGTAACACCCTTCAAATAATACATGAATGTATATATCTCATGTGTATATAAATTATACTATTATGTTTCCATATTAGAATTCTGAGGGGTAAGCTCAGTTTATTAATGAATTACTAGAATTGTCCACATATTAATTTCAATAGCCTAGATAAAAATATCCTTACTCTTTCTCTGTATCTCCTTCACTTTCTTCTGAATGATCAAAGCTCCAGCTATTTTTAAAACCTCCATCCCGTTTGGACTGTGATTTATCCAAAGCTGAAACAAAAATAAGTTAGGTTCAATTTCGGCTCTAAGTCAAATCACCAATCAATACTTAATTGAACAATCTTTATAGTTAATAATCACACCGTTTTAGCTGACAGTGGCAAGGCAATATTTTAAACATTACTTTAGTTTATCATTTAGCCATTTGAGCTTAAGAATTTATCTACAATTTCTCTATTATTCTACAACTTGTAGAATATCCTAGATCACAAGATACAAACTTGCCTAAAGTTACTCAGTACCCTCATATACAAACCAACACTCTAGCAACAGTGTTATGCTATTAGTCAGCAAATAAAACAAGAACAGCACTAAAAAGTAATGCATCAATTTGCCAAACAAGTACTGTCTTTTTATGTTTAATTTAAAAGAACACACTTATTTAAAAGGGGAATCTACAAATCGCTCCCCAGTAGCAACTTGGGAAAAGCATGTTATACAAGTGGCCTTACCCTAAATTCATGTACTTTAACAAGATCTGTGAAATTAGAATGGGACAACTTGCATGCGGTTATGAATTAAAATTCCTGACATATGTATGCACACATTTCATGGTACTCAAGTTTCCTACTAAGCTTGCATATCCATATGAACCAAGGGAAGAAAATGTGAATCACTATTAGCACTGTACTATATTGTTGCTGTTGAGATCTCAAGAGGACTTTCAAGTTATCCTAAATATTTCAAGTAATATTCAAAGAACACTAGCTCACCTGCTGTGTGTTTTAAAGGTTTATTTTGGGCAACAGTAGGACAATTATTTTGTAGAATTTTAAAGTCACCAGCAATATTAACTAATAAAACAGCCTTCTCCAATCTGATGCCCTCCAGATGTTTGGGGCATCAATAGCCCTCAGCACCAATCAGCTCAGAATGGTCACAAGTCATGAGAGCCATAGTCCAAAACACCTGGAGGATACCAAATTAAGGAAGGCTGTAAGACATACCAGATCTAAAAGACTGATCCACAACTTCCAAATGAAAATCACAGAACTCACAACATTGCACCAAACTCCAGCTATTGTTAATACAAATTAAAAATGACAATTTGGTTGGACTATTATAAAGGGGTATGGGCATGTATCTATTTACAATCATAACTTTGCAAACAATCCAATCTGTACATTCACTGGATATATCAAGTTATAGGAAATGTGTTGGCTAAAAATCCTTAAATTGCTTTGTGGATGATTAAAACTGTACGTTTCTCAAAAGTAATTTCTGCCATAATTTCCAGAGTTTGTCACTTGAGCCCTTGTACCAGCTGCTACCAACCTGATACCCTCCAGATGTTTTAGACTTCAGCTTAACAATTGGCCATGCTGGCTGGTGCTAATGGAAAAGGTAGATCAGAACATTTGGAGGGCACAAGGTAGGCAAAGACTACCTCACAGAAGTTCGCCTGTCAAAGACAGAATTCCACTCTTATGTGTTTGACAGCATAGCTCCTTAACTTCAGTTTGATGTAATAGTATGTCTTTATCAGTTCAGAATGTTCAAAGCTGTGAGTTCTCTCTGACAGCAGACCAAGTCAGGCTGTGATATATAACCTTGAAAATTACTTTCAAGGTTACTGCTGCAGGTGGCATTCACCCACACCTTTGTCACCCTAAGTACAATTGATCTAGCATGCCTACTTTTAAGATCCAGATGCCAGTACAACTAAAAAAAGATACTGTGCTTTCCCTATTAATAATAATGCATATTTGAAATAGCCCTAAAGCAGTAGAAGTTCTGGAAGGAACAGGGCAGCTTATATCACAGGATCAGCACTATGTTTTCTCTACTGGACTATATGTGGTACTTTGATGTTTGTCAAATGTTTTCACTGTACATAAAGAATGGGCAATGCTGGTTACAAAATAGTATATATACAGAACAAAAAGGCATCCATTACACACTATAAATCCCTAAAATATTCCTTTGGGCAGTCCAACTATATGCAAGGAATCTTTCAAGAAGCCAAGAGGGCCTTTAAAGAACTTGCTGGATTGTTCTGGAGTCAACATGTCTTCCACAAACAGGAGGAAAAAGTGCTGAACATTCAGAAAAGTCCAGTGTCTCTATTCACAAAAAGCTATTCTTGAAGACAACCAAGTGTTGGAAAGAGAAAGAAACCTCACCAAGAAACCAGTCAACACAGATTCTGATAGTCATCTTGGCCATAGCCAAGGATTTGGTACCAAAAAATTAATATGGTCCCTGTTCTAGGTAATCCTGAAGCCAAAGGGGTTCTAAAATATGGACTGAATGCACTTCACTAATTGGACAAGTCTAGTTAGATTATAGATTCTCCCTGTTAAGGGCACATTATCTATCTCTCATGCCACTTTTTATATTATGACTGAATTACTTTAATTCATAAATTTGTTGCTATTTTCAAAAGAAACGATTTTAAATGGTTGTTCTTTCATCTTCTGAAATTATGTTAGTGTCCTAGCTGCTAGCTGGATGTATTCTAATATACTACTTTTATTTGAGTTCTAACAAAACCAAATCTGACATTTCCTGGAAGGTTTATTTCTCCTATATAATCACTTTCCTGATAAACCAAAGCCTCCAGGTATTTTGTACTATTTGTATTTTTAGCTTAGTAAAGTCGCTCACTGCAGCATGCAATTAAGCTAAGATTCTGAAACACTATTGCAAAGCAGTGATTACCCACAACACCCAATGTTCACTTTTCTGTCCTGCTGAGATCTCTAATCAACCAGAATTTCAGGTTGCTGTAGCACCTGAACCAGTATTTGGATGAAATATAAATCTGGATTCCCACAGCTGAACTATCAAGCCACTGCAACATTTATAAATGTGGCTGCTGCTTAATATTGAAAGGAAATGTTTAGTAAATAAAACATGTATAAAGGAAAATTAGAATAATGCAAGGCTAACTACTTGCAATACTTTGATAATCTTCTCTTACTTTAAAAATCCATTCTTATTTGAACAGATGTCCCATCCTTTATTTTTATTCTAAGAAGTGAAAATTGCTAGAACAGAAACAAGTTTCCAACTGGCCTAATCAATTTTACCATTCAATTGACTTTATGGGCCTAGGGAAATGATTTCAATCCAGGTTAAGTGTATACATTTATCAAAAACTCCACTGATGGAGAAGAGCTACTGACATATTAAGTATGCCATCAAACTATAGTGTATACACCACCTTACTATCTATATCAATTCAGAAGCACAGTGAGAGAAACTTTGTTTTAAAATATGCCAAAAAAACAAACAAACTATTAGTCAATTGTTACAGAAAACTAAATTCAATCTGATTACATTATGCCCATTGAGATGAAGCCAGTGGTGTTGATTGGTTAAACTGATGTGCACAGGAGGGCTGAGAATCTTTAATTGTAGGGAACAAAGTAACTTGCAATTCAGTTTCTATGGGGGGAGCAAATACTAGGAGTTTGGCCATGATTCAAACAGCATATTGGAGCAAGCAAAATCAGGGAAATGGAAAGTGGTTTGGGGTGAGAAGAATCTTAGAAGCAGCAAGAACACACTAGAAAATGTGGACCAGGAACTGGTTTCCTCCTCCTCCTTTAAGTCTCCCACTCTTACTTCTGGGGATCCCTACCACTAATAACAGGAAATGATAGTAAAAGGCTGGTGGTATCAGAGTGTTCTCCATAATGTCTACTTTACCCTTCAGTGGGCCCAATTAATTTCCTCTCCCTTCTCAGCAGGGCCTAGCAGATCCATAGTAACAACTAGAACCAATGCCTAAAGTACATCTTCTCACATAAATCTGAAATAAGTATTTGAAGGGAAAATACTGGTAACTGTTCTCTCATTGGGCGTCTAACAACAGTTCTCAGTACAAAGTGTATTAGCATTGCACTACAACAGCACTGTAGGGAATATTATTAAAGCCATGTTTCTTAAAGTGGGAGGCTGGTTTCCAAAATGCGAAATGGTTGCCAAGGAAGTTACTACTTGGTACAGAGACTAAAGTTAACAAAATGTGCTAAACATAATTCACTTTTTCTATCAATCCACTCCCCTTACCACCAAAAATAATTTAGAATCACAAGCTTCCTTTTTACATATTATCAAGTATGTAAAAGATGGATACCTTTGTCTCATCCACTGCTTAGGCCATTATCTTTGACTGGCTATGATGCAGGTGCATGTCTTGATCTTACTAAGGCAGCTCTGTCCCATATTTCCTCAAAGTGGACACTGGGAAGCACACTTCCCAGAATGCCCCTCACCCTTAGCTCAGAAACTATGCTTCATTCTCAGACCATGCATGGAGGCATGAAAGTATTGCAGGCCCATGGCTACCACAGAGCAACCTTCTAAATGATATTATTGTTCATGCAGTAATTTGTCAATAGTAGCTGGGTCATCCAATGTCAGAAGAGTGGGGCAAATTTTATAGCATTTTCCTAAAGCAGGTTACTGGTCAACAATTTTTATCAGCAGAACTAAAGGGGGTGGGGGCAAAGAGATGGAGTGCTAAACCTGCTCCCTCCCCTTGTCATCTTAACTGCCTACATACAATCTTTATGCCATCCTGTCTGCATAAGCTATACTAAAATATGACAGAAAATTGGAAATTCAATTTATTAAGTTAATTATGTTCATTTTCCAAGTTTCCATGTTACACACACAAGCAATCCTGTGATGTACTGGAATGCTAGAATTAATCTTAAAGCTACTGTATTTTAGAAATTATCAGTTCTTATAGAACACAAGTATTCATAAAGTAACAGGAATCATGGTCATTCTAAGGTATAAAACAGGCATTAGCTACAGAAAAGAGTAATATCTTCCTAGAAGTCACTTCCTTCTTCCCTATGACAAAGATCCAACTGATGTCTCATGTCCTCTTGATTCTGTTCATTCTAATTGTAAATTAACCACAATTACTGGGAAGAGTGCTTCGGTAAGGTAAAAATATATCCAATACACTTGGTGGCCCAGTCATTGTTAACAGAGTCCATTATATGAAATGTATACCATAGCCATAAACACGATTCATTCATAAAAATGCTCCCCAGTCACCAAAAGCTGGTCACTATGAACTAGTGTGTTTCCTCAAAAAACATACTTATAGCTTACAAAACTGTACATGCTGCTTGCTGTTGCTATGTAATAATGAAACAACCCAAATCTTCAGATGGTCTTAGAACTAAACGATATCTCATGTATTCTCCTAGAACAGGAGTCTCCAACTTTTTTGGACCGACAGGCACCTTTGGGAATTTAAAAACCTGCCACAGGCATCACCATAAAATCCTAATCAGTGGATTGACACCTTGGTATTCAGCTGCTGCATCTATGGCTCTTAAGTTGCATCTTATTGAGCAAAAAGCATGTTTGTTTCATGTCAAAAGATATATCAAAATCTCCAGATATTTTCAACTATCACTTCTATAATTTATCACCACTGGCACATCATGGCTGGGGTTTATGGGAATTCTAAGCTAAAGCATTTGGAGAAAAACTGGTTTCCTACTACTGCAGTAGTGAATCAGTATTTATTTATTTATTTTTATTTTTCGATTTATATCCTGCCTTTTTCCTACAAAGGGCTCAAGGCAGCTTACATCTCCTCCTCCATCTTATCCCCACAACAACCCTGTGAGGTAGGTTGGGCTGAGAGTCTGTTACTAGCCCAAAGTCACCCAGTTGGCTCCATGGCTGAGCGGGGACTAGAACCCAGATCGACTAAAATGAAATGCAACATGAAATAAATATTTTTACATATTTTACTTTACCTAATAACAAAACAGATTACAAAGCTAAACCAATAACAATACACTACAAAAAAAAACAAGCAACAACCAACAGAGGAACAATTACAATGTAACCACATAAAAGCAGTCATTAACAGTAAAATTCAAAATTCCTGGGAGAAATGTAGTCACCAAATGCCAAAAAGAGAACAGTGTAAACACCAGGTAAGCCTCCTTGGGGAGGGCATTCCATAGATGCTGACTTATACTAAGTCTTAAGGCTCATCCAGAAGCTTTTCATACTGCAGGAGATATCTGTTGAGATGACAAATTAAGAATGTAAACTTAGGGCACAATGCAACAGAAGAGGGCTCCGATTCAGAAGTCTCCGCCTAGCCTATGTCCTTCCTGTCCAGAGTCAGGCAGGTCAAAAGGAGGATAGAAACAATTTTCTCCATTTAAAATGCAAAATGCAGCTAGACCTGGTGGCTTGCCTTTTGGCATGTGAGAAAGAGACTGGAGAGCCCACAGGGTATTGCATACTGCTGCCTCCCTGCTCCACCCACCCCCATGCCCACTCTTCTCCCTCTCTGACTTCACCTATCAGTTGACAGGATCATGTGATCTCTTAAGAGAAACTTTCCCAGGAAGCCTGGAGGGAAGATGAGGATATGCAAGGGAAAATTCATGTTCAGATCTCCTTCTCAGTACTTGTAGCTCTTATAGAGGTACGGAGAAAATATCTAAAACATCCTATGCCACTCCAGATGCTCTCTAGGTGCTACGGGACTTGTAATTACATTCTGAACTGTTCTATTCAATCCCACTGCTGCTCTTCTGCACTATCAGTAAGGCACCTCTGAAGCAGTGATTTTTTTCCAACATATCTCAAGAACATGTAGGTGTAGCCTACACTTTTCTTGCCCTCAATATCTACTTATTGGCCCAATTCAGACTTAATGGACTTTGTCCAATAAGCCCTCCTGCAAGGACTTCACAGTTTGATCCTGTTTCACAGTCCAGTGTTATAATCAGAATATAAACCAAATTCATAGAACGAAATGTAAATGTGAAAGTGTAATTTAACAAATTCCAGAATTCTTAAAGGTACAAGATCTGTGGCAAAATTTGTTTCTGGACAACAAGCTAAACATCCTTATAAGAGAGGAATTACTTCACGCCAGATTCATTCAGTCCCGTCCCCCCCCGCCCCAAACCGAGGAGTTTGAAAGTTTTCCCTTTTGAAGTACAACTTGCACTTGTGTGGTTAAAACTGCCACAAAAGCATGGAGAGTTGTTTCACATGAACAGCTTTCCACATCCCATTCAAGCCACCAATGTGGATGATTGCATTTGGGAATCAAGATTAAGTTTCCCCTTACAGCTTGCTTCAATAATGCATTGTCATTTTCTGACACTGCACTGCTACATTGCCCAAAACACTGCATCTAGGGATGCTTCCCATGTTACATTTTAGCTACATGAAGAGGGTACAAAAATGCACTGTTAACACTATGAACATTATCCCTACATTAAGTATGCCTATGTGCTAACCAATTTATGCAACCATAAGATAAGATAGTCATGCTACTCTTTGAACATTATGACAACTCAGTGTCTTCTCACCGAGATCTTTGTACAAAGAAGATGAAATGTATGAACCTTCCCTTAGATTATTTTGCTTTCCAATCTGAAGCATCAGCATGGAACCTTATTATCTGATTTCAAGGAACAAATCAGTAAAAGTAATATATTGAAAATACATGAGTATCTAATGAGTAAATGTGATATTTGAATATATTGTAGTTAAAAAGTGTGCACAGCCTTTAACAAAAACTTGCTATCCTTTGAAACTCTCTCCCGTGACAGATCTGTGTAGAGGGAACATTAGAACGTATGTTTCATTATCCCCAGAATGCTGAGTTATCACATGCATGTTTGCATAGTTTACTAAGGCTTTATATTCTATTAAGGAATAGAATTATTTTAGATAACTGTACTAGTTCCTTATAAACTTTTTATTGTTCTTAGATACAGTGCTGTAAAGGTACTTTAACAATCATAATTATGGCTGCAATTCTTACATACTTCTGTGAGAGTAAGTCCCATTAAGTACACCGGAACTTACTTCCAGGTAAACATGTACAGGATTGTGCTCAAAATAACTCTTTTTCCAGGTGCAGTAGGTATGAATATATAAATATATAACTCTAGAAGGCAACGTTCTCACCTTAGATTTCCCTGTTTTTCCTTCTCAACATCTTCAAGTTAGCATTTCACACTTTTCAAAGCTAAAAACTGAGAAGTTTAAAAGCATACCAATAATAGGCAAGGGCTGGAAATAGATGGCAAGCAAAAACCACTGCCCATAGAGTCTAACCACAGCCAGCCGCCGTCCATAAAAGTACCTTAACTCAATCAGCTTCAGTTCTGACCTAAACACTAACCTGTCAGCCGCCCACCACTACACTCCCCCCAAAGCCTCTACATCCCCCTCCTGCACGTACCTTCTTCCCCCTCACCTTAAGAGCCGCACGGCCGCCTCATCCCCGTTACCCCTCACCCCACAGCCCTCCCCGCAACCGTATAATGCATACCGCCCCCCGCACGCCGACAGGGGGGGAACTCCTCCATCGTAATCCTAGGCACGACTACTCGGAAGTAAGTCCCACCCGGTTCAATAGGGCTCGCTCCCATTCAAGCGTGTTCAGAATTGGCGCCACAGACGGCCTCCTCCTGTCCTAATGAACGCACTTACCGTCGAGAAAGGGGCTCGGCCCGAAATCCTCGACCCTTCTGCCGCTGCCGCCGCCGCCGCCGCCAGCCATCTTCGCTCGGCCGCTTCTCGGCGCTCAGACCATCGCGGCGAGGAGTCGCTTCTGGCCCAGGCACCGGCGCCTCAGGGACGGCGCTAGGCCTCTCCTCCTGGCCTGCGCCTTCTTCACCTTCGCTCGCCGCAGCCGAGGCTGACTTAGCACGTCTGAGTCGACCGGAGGTGGGGGTGGAAAGGAAGGCGACTCCAGCGCACCTCACCAGCCAGGGTCCAGTCGCGCAACTAGGCCTGTATAACGCGGAGAGGGAGAAGGAAGCACACACGGCACACACAGAAAGGGGGAGAGGGAGAGAGGAGGAGAAGGAGAGAAGCCGCCCCGGCTCCCTTCCTCGCGCCCGCCTTTCCTTATTTTGTCCGGCGGCGCCAGCCACAGCCCCCGAGTAATTCGACGGAGGCCGGAGCAGTCGCGCTGGCTGCTCCGCTGCCCGCCCGCCCGCCTGCCAGCCACCCAAAGGCGGGGCGGCGAGGAAGAATGAACCAGACCGAGCCAGGCTTGACTTCGCTTCCCTTCCCCCCGGTTGCAGGCTCTTGTTGCTGCGGTCAATGCTTTCTCGTCTCGCAGCGCTTCGGCAACCAGTGGTGCAAACCCACCTCGCTGCAAACGTTCAGTCCACGACCACCACCTTTTCTCTGGGACTCCCTACTTCCCGAAGGAGGCCAGCCCTTAAACGTAGGCACGAAAAGGTGTAGCTAATTTCCAGCAAAACGCAACACCTCTAGTTCCCCCTTCCCGCCACCCCCCATGCTTAAAATGGCCGCAGCTGAGGGGCTGCTGGTAAAGGATGACCGTTTCTGGGTTTTCTCCTCTTCGTTTTCCACCTCATCCCCTGGGGTCTAATGCTTGTGGCGAAGGCGACAAAAAAGAAGAAAGGGAGGGAAAGTGGGGAGCGTGAACTTTGAAATTCTTCAAGGAATGTATATAAAGAATGATAGACATGCTTCCCCTCTTCCTCAAGTCATTAGATTCGGAGATGCATTTTTAGCATTCTTTCTCTGTGTATAATATATATCTTCTATATTATATATATATATATATATATATATATATATATATATATATATATATGCATGTTAGCATACCCTTCCCCCAAGTCTTTGGGCCTAGAGCAAAACAGTAATGAAAGATTGGCAGGGATAGGGTATTATTAATATACATATGTATTTACATTTCTAATCTAATGGTGCTTTTGGATGCAGTGAACTGCTCTGAGACAGCTTCTGGTATAGGATGGGTCGAAATACACAGTATCAGATCCTCTAGTGATACAGTCCATCTTTTTTTTGACTGTCAAACAGTTATGACAACTGTTGTTAGAAACATGTGCTCTGATTATTCCAACAAGATTACACCAGCATCAAAGTCTTCAGAGCTGCCCTTTGAGGATGCAATCTATTACTACCAGGTCTGAAGTACTTTGTCATGTCTTAGATTTATCTGCTTCTTAGGCGGGGTATGCTTTAAGGATACCAGAATGACTTTCAGACCACATGTGACTAAAGCACCTTTTTCTGTTTTTTACTATAAGAAATCTTAAGTTTCTTTTATGTAACCCACTGGTTCTACATACTGACCTGGTGGTTTGAATGGCCATTTTGAATATTCTAGCCATTTTCAATAGCTAAACTGTGGCTTATTGTTACTGTTAAAACCTGGTGGGGGTGAGTTCTCCAATGGCTAAACAACTTTCCACAAACTTTGCAGAACTCCACTTGCCAAATTTGGACAAACAGTGATTGCAGGATGCAACATGCACATCACAGCCCACCATGCTTAAATAAGCCATAATGTGCTATTTGATTTTGTGAACCAGCTCACAGTGCAGCTATTGCCATAAAACGCATGCAAAATGCACAAAGCCCTTTAACTTATTTTTATTTTTAAATGTGACCATATTCGATTATTACTATAAGTATGAGGTCTAACCATAGGGAGAGAGGTACTGATCAGCTAGGCCTGCTAGGGCAACCATATTGGACCACAAGTGTCTATACTGGCTACGGATGGCGAGAGCTGTTGGCCAAAACATCTAGAAGGCACTAGGCTGGGGAAAACTGCACTAGGGTCACTGGGGCACCATCTGTTAAAGACAAATGTATCACCAGACTGCAGTCAATGTGATATTAGTGTTAGTACAGAGCACAACATAACACCTCAGAAAAGATCTGCATTAAAACATACTGTTTATAATAAAGTGGCGACTAGGCCATGGTACTAAATGTGATATATTGTTACCAAAAGTAGATATGCTGATTTTAAACGTTAGAATCGGCATGTTTGAAGTTCATAGATTCTAACTTTCTATTTAAAGACATGATTTTAATAATTTAATAAGAGTAACAGGCAGAAACATCTAAGCCAAGGGCAGAACTCCATGTTTCTCTTAAATTTTATGCAATTTATTATATAGCACATTTCAATCTTACCTTTAGATCACTTTGTGTATGTTGTATAATACACATGCCCCCTCTGTTTATTTCCACGATAGTCCAATAAGCTAGGCAGAGGAAAGTGTTACCATGTGTGCCCAGCCACACTTGCATCCCAACACACAGGGCTACACTTTACACTTCAGGTTTTCTGATATTAGTTATTGTACATAGTCTTGCACCAAAGATTAATGGCATTATTGCAAAATATATGGGACTGCCAAATGTATCATTTTGCCACAGAATGGAAATATTAATTGATTAACCCAATTAAGCTTGGGCCACATACATCACAGTCTCCCCCTATTCCTCTTCTCTGTGTGTGGGTGTGTTTGTATACACACCCAAACATATTACTAGGAGGTAGAATGACAAAGAATAACAGTGATGGGAAAGTTACAGTTGCCAAATAGGATAATAAGAGAACACTAGAGATTTGGCAACCCATGCTGAAAATCTTAATGTAACAGGGTAAACTTTGAATATAAATGACATACTGGACATATAAAGGATAGAATGGAGAGATGGTAGAGAGAAAAAAATAGAAAATGAGAGATTACCCCACAAACAAACTATCACAGAGGAAGAGCAGTACAAGAGGCAGTTTGAATTGCTGTTGATCCTCTGAAGCCAACAACAGGGGGCACCAAGCAACAGGTGCAGCAGGTGGTTGGCTGAGCTTACCATTGGTGACAGAATTGCGCACGATCAATACTTCCCTCCCTTTCCTTTCTGGGGCAGTTATTCCTGCTTCAGTCCTAGTCCTTCTCCCACGTGCACTCATGCTGCCTGTGCCTTTTCCCAGCCTGCAGCTCAGAGCTCTGAAATCCTGAAAGGGAAGGGGATGCAATAAAGGTTTGTTTGCTCTTTGCATCCCCATAGCACAGCCACCTCGTTGCTCCCATCCCAATGGCCTTCCCCTTCCCAGCTCTCAAAAGGGCAGTGTAGCGCGATCCAGCCAGCCTTCTATCCAGTGCAACACAATCCCAAACACAAGTCCTTTCCATACCCATGTTTTCATTTCTGTTTCCCCTTCCTCTCCGGGGTAGTTGCTCCACTGGGCATGCCCTCCCACTGCTGCTTCTTAATTCGTGCCCCCTTTTGCACAAACACATTGCAGCTAAGATCTTTTCTCTTGTTCTCAGCTCAGGGTTTTGGAGCTCCTGCCAATTCAGAGGTCTCCCCTCCCTCATGCTCTGTGTCTTGCATCACTGCAGCAGCTTCCTTGTTGCTTTTATCCCAACAAGCAGTAACCCATTCCCAGGTTTAAAGGTCCACTCAGCACTCCCTAGAAAGCTGTTCAGCAAGAACCAGGAGGGTACCACACAATGGAAATAAAATTGTAAACACAAGTTCTCAAGACAGGAAGGGATAAATTAGCCAAATTATTATTTTACTCCCCACCATGTTCTCATAGAATGAGACTTCTGCACAAGGGCCAAACTCAAATCTACTTCAGGGAGCATGATTAGAAAGGTAACTTAGCAAACAGGTATTTGTAGGTTTGGATGTTCCTCTTCCTGGTGGTGTGGTGCCTGCAGACACCTTTCTTGGTGTTCCACAGAGTTCTTGCCCCTCCTGATTTTAATGTTATGACTGTTTAGCTTCCCCTTTTTTAAGCCTGGAGATTGGCATGGAGCAAAGTAATGTGCTTGCCTTCAGGCCACTTTACTAGCTCAAGGATGGGTGGCCATATCATTGGCACACCTCTCTGGGGAGCCCATTCCAAAGCTGGGGTGCCACCACAGAGAAGGCCCTTCTCCAGGTAGCCACTCTTATGATCTCCTTCAAAGAGGGCTCCTGAAGAAGGACCTCCACTCCAGATCTTAGAGGCTGGGCAGGTATATATGGAATAAGGCACTTCTTCAAATTTGATCCATATCCAGCTGCCCAGAATACAGACACAATTTTCCTGGGGGTGGTGGGGAGTGTTCTGGGGAGCCAGAGAGGGGAAGGAAGTATTCTGAGGCTCTAGAAGGGGTTTGTATTTGGAAAGCTATTCACAAAGTGCTGTAAAACAGTAAGCACAGTAAGTTCTAAGGCCTCATCTCTACCTTGTATATCATTTCTTGCCAAAGTTACTTCACTTTTAGTATATCTTTGAACCCCATTTTTCCTAATTCAATTTCAACATTCTAGCTGCTACACTGCACAGGTTAGGTATGTTTTGAATGTAATGTTGCATTGCCCAGTGCCAACTTACACTGTTGCTGCATGACCTCATTCATATGCACAGCTGAAGTTTCATGTATACAATATGGGACTACCTCAGGATACAGTGAACACACAACAGATGTATTATGTTTTTACTACATGGAGAACAGTGTTTTCTAAGCTAAGGAAATTAGCTCCCACACTTTTTCAGAGTTCAAAAGCAACAACTTAATTTTTACATATGCTTATGCTTAAAACACACACCCATGCCCATTTGTTACAAAAGAGAAAAGTATATTGGTTAGTATACTCACCCCCTAGCCCATGGATTATGTTCACAGGATCTGAGCAGGTCAGTGAAGAAAAGAACATTTTGGAGTGCATACATTCATAAGGTTGACAAAAGTCAGAGGCATCTTGATGGCATGTAACAATAATCAGCATAGTAATTCTAAAGGAGTAGCAATATAGCTTCAACCTCTCCTGCAATTGCTATGTGTACTTACTTCGGAATAAACTCTACTGAGATAAGAAAGAACTACTTCCTCATAAGCATATTTCAGTTCGGAGTGTTACCTGTGACCATTAAGTACTGCCATCTACTTTTCAAAACCCAGAATCCACAAATGGACTGCTGCTTGCTTAATATAATCTCTTTGCTGCCATGGCCCTAAACACATGTGATACCATATCAGCTTGGCACATCACCATAATAGCTCTGTAAATCTAGGAAAACATTGTGATTTGTGACATAATTTCAGTGTTCCATACTGAATACTTATGTGCAGAAATAACAGATCTTCAGATTGAATCATTCATTCCAGATAGATCTCCATAAATACTGTACATATTTTCCCTTGAGATCATCAGTCTTCTGATGCCTAGTAGACAAAATATGATAATAGACGTATTTGAGACATGGATACTCAAAATTTCAGCTGAAATCAGTGTAATGCTATAGAGTTGTCAGTTCCTAAATTACTGTTATATCAAAGCCCCTGTGTAAACGGACAACAAAGTAAAAAGTATTTTAGACTGGACTTCTGTAACCACTT